AGGATAGCCGTAAGCATGGGGAATTCACCAATCAAAAATGATCCGTTGGGAAAAAACTTTAAAAGAAAACACGATATTGACAAGCAAACATGGGGTATAATCCACACGCCTTGGAGAGTGGACGTACCCGATTACAGCATTGTGGAATGGAGTACCCAATTTGGGGTCTATCCTTATTGGTACAAAACAAAACTGGAGGAACCTAGCATCATGATAATGAGTAAATCCGGAGGATGTGATAGACTAAAGCTTTCTTACCCCTCGAAAGAAATTGATGTCTTTCTGATTTTCTCTCGAAACATCAGTTGCAAAGCTGCGGCTTGCAACGATTCACTCCAAGGATATCAAAGAAACCATACATCTATGTCATACAATGTGAGTAGTAATCCTTCAATCATATATATATATAGACACTGTGTAAGTAATTATGTTAGATTCAGATTGGAACCTGGTAACCAGTATAAAGAGAAGTACAACCCCGAAAGAAGGCCATCGTCGGCACTTCAAAGCACTGGGCCCAGCCTCGCCTTCCGTTGGGTAGACCACAGGCTCTGCAGGAGCCGGGAAGTTGGGAACAAAAATCACCTGCTGCAGCGAAGCTGGAGATGGATACCAAGTGCGGGACCCTGCAGCCAATTCCATATATATATATATATGTATTTATATAGTACTCATAATGTGCATGTACATACGTATATACATTTATAGAATACATATGCATGTGTATTATATATATATATCATTATATATCCATATGCCATATAGATATAATGGGATTACATGGTGGCAACCATCTTATGGCAGGCGCCCCGAGAGATGGGAAGCCAATGGGTGAAACGACAGGTTCAGTACAGATGTATGATACGATGTATGACTTACTGGTGCGTTTTACGTAGGGAATGGATGGGTTGCTGGGGGAATGGGATTATTATTGATAGTGATTATGGATCATTCCCTCATTCCCTGCTAAGCACCAGCAAGATGATGGACTCATACCAACCTGTTTTGATGCTCTTTGTTGAAGGCATGATTAGTATGAGCGCTTGAAATGGCCGAAAATGATGACGTGTGTCCATCCTATTTCAAGAAGTGAGCAACTTCGACACATACCGATGTGTTTGTCAGTGAATTTCACCTTCCCAATGCGACGTGAAAATCTTCGAATGTGTTTCGGGAATCCAGCTGGTACAGATTCAAACTTGTTGGAGGCAAAACTGCAGGAACACGGGGTTTCCCATGAACTTATCCAGGCTCCGGGTGGACCAGGAAAGAAGAAACCTCCCAGCTGCCGGTGCCTGTTGCGCTTGTAAGTCAAAAACCGTGTAATAGAAAGCCTCAGCTCGGAGCGAAATGATCTCGGCGCAGGATCTCAATCTCCCCAGTATTTTTCTCATTTGGATCTTTCCATAAATGGGGGAACCCAAAAATAGATGGTCTGTTTTGGAGAAACCCATTTCAAAATTTCTCAATCCATCTGCGCACACGTTTGGATTCTTTTGGCACGATGCGCTGCTCAACAGGGGTGTGCTGACAGCGTGCAGTGATAGGGCCATCTGGAAGGCGATAATTATGCTGAGCAGATCTCTATTAAATATGTTATATGTTGACTCACAAGCTGCTTGTGGGGGTTGAAAGCATGACAGAGAAGCCGCATCCACCGCTGACCAATTATTTTGACCTCTACTCTTCCTTGACCATGTTTCGCTGTGTTTCCTTCTTCTTCATTTGATTTGGTGAGACAGGGCATGGATTTCACACCATGCAATGTTTTTTTACACAGCTGTAGCAAAGATAAATTCAGATAGTAATAAGGTTCAGCGACATTTTTCTGGTAAAGATTGAAGAATCAAACTGGCTGGAGATTTTCAGAACGAGCTTTAGGAAAGCCAAGAAAATCTTGGTTAACATAGAGTGGGTCAACCCCTGATTGGTGAACGGTATTTCGATAGCGAGTTACCCAGAAAAAGTTATCTCATCTGCCTCCTAATCAATCTGGTTGACATCAGCCAGATGTTACCCATCTGGGCAAATTCCACTAAAAACCGCACCTGAAAGACAATTTTGGGGGATATGTTGGGGTGGTTTTCCACGTATATTCAGGTGAGTTTTACTTTACAAGCATCGAAACATCAGTACTATCGATAGGTATTCCCATCATAGCTAATAATCCCATCCCCCGAATATGAAATAGGCCATTGCATGGTCCCAAATACGTGATTTCATCCCCTACATCCACCATAGTGACTCTGGGGAGTGTTTCAGGGATTTATTTGGGAAAGGGATTAGGTAGTAGAAACCCCTACAATAATAAATCTTCCAGGGTCACCTGGTGACTTTTCACATCCATCTGCGATCCCTCAGCTCCAAGAGACCCAAATGGGGAGGCCCAAAATGAGACCGTCACCTGCCGAAAATTCGGAATCCATGTGAATCCGTGGACAAATGGCGAAGTTACTGGAGAGTATATAACCATAGTATACCATAGTACAATATAGTGACAGGGTTGATGTCCCAACTTGTGGGGGTGCCATCAGCATGGTAGTTATGTCATGTATAATCCCAACTGCACTCGCAAGCACTGTTTTCGTGAAGATATCTTCGTTTGGGTGTGTCTGAAAATGGGGTACGTCCAAAAACATGCATTTTGTGATGGGGGAAACAATGATTGACCAAAATCACCAATGACTTTTGAGGTATCCTATTTTCACCCGGCCATTCTTTGTTGAGCCAGTGGCTGAGCATAGGGGCGAGCAAACCTAGAAACACTCGGTTTTGGTAAAAGATCAAGCATTTACCCACCAGTCACCCAGTTTTGCCCTTTACTTCCCGAGTATGGACGCGATCAGCATGTTTCCAACTGAAGTTTAAAAGGTTTTTGAGGAAAAAATGGTTAGTTTCGAAACCCGGGTTTTGGCTGGCTTGGAGGGGGGGGGCGGGGGAAACAAACTAACTCTGGGGAGAAAGGTTTGTTTCCGGAGAAAAAACAAGCGTTTTGGGAGGGTGGTCCAACGTTAGTTTCAAGGTGCCAAAACAAAGGTTTCGACCGAGAAAAAGGTTTGTTCCCGAAGAAGAAAAGAAAGGTTTGCGGGGGAGGTTGCAGAATCATCGGGAAACGAAAGTTTCAAAACTATAGTTTCGGGTAGGAGAAACAACGTTTTCCAAACCGGACGGAAGGAGTTTGTGTGTTTCCGACGCCCCGCCCCGGAATGAGCTGCAACAAAAGGTTGGGCGGCAAGACGAGAAGAAGAAGAAGCAGAAGAAGAAGAACAACAACAACAACAATAACAAGAAGAAGAAGACGAAGAAGAAGAAGTAGAACAAGAACAGCATCAACAACAGGAACAACAAGAACAACAGGAACAACAAGAGGAACAAGAAGAACCAGAACAACAAGAACAAAAAGTTGAACAGGAAGAACAAGAACAACCAGAACAACACGAACAACATTGTAACAAGAACAACAAGAACACGAAGAAAAACAAGAACAAGAAGACGAACAAAAGCAAGAACAAGAAAAAGAAAAAACAGCAGCAAGAACAGCAACAGGAGCGGCAACAACAGCAAAAACAACAACAACAACACCAGCACCAGCAGCAGCAGCAGCAGCAGCAACAGCAACAGCAACAGCAACAGCAAGAACAACACAAGAACGTGGGGAGGTGGAGTTGTTTGTCTACGGAGATTTGTGGAAAGAATGAAACTTGGGGTTGCGGCATGTTGTTTTCGGACGTGAACGCCGAACAAGCTCCAAAAATCGGAGAAAAGAAAACGTATGCAAACAGTTTGTGTTTAACATATAGGACGGACATTCGTGTCCAGAAGGGTGCGAAAGATGGGCGAGCCCGAGCACTGGCGAGGCCGAGACAGATAAAGGCGAGGCCGACATGCATGCAATTGCATGGGGTCATTGGCGAGGCCGAGGCATTGGCGAGGCCGAGGCCGAGATTGATGAGATGAAGGGGAAGCGGACCCTGGAAACTAATGTTTCGAAACTAAAGTTTCTCAGACAAAAACGTTTGTTCGAATTGGCGAGGCCGAGGCATTGGCGAGGCCGAGGCCGACATTGATGAGATGAAGGGGAAGCTGACCCTGGAAACTAACGTTTCGAAACTAAAGTGTCTCAAACAAAAACGTTTGTTCGAAACAATAGTTTTCAGGGCTAACGAAAAACAAACCTTTCAACTTGGCACTGTGCAAAGTTACGTGTGTTAACCCAAAACAATCGTAAACAAACGTTTTGTCGAATAGTTTGTTTCCGCGCCAAAGACAAACGTTTCCGAAACAAATGTTTTCGCAAAAACAAACAAACAAACAAACAAACAAACTAGTCGAAAAAATGTTTGTCTTCGGGGTTCGAAACTACGTAGTTCCAATGGAGTCTGTTTTGAGTTTCCAGTTTAAAACTAAGATTTCAAACAAAGGTTGGTTTCGAACCCTGAAACTTACGTTTTCGCACGAAAAACGTTAGTTTTGGGAATAAGACATGTGTTTCTCTTTCCGCTGCTTTCAGAGCAAAGCTTGGGCAGCGCCACAGGCCACAACGTTAGTTTCGGCTTGGAAAACAAACCTTTTCTATCGTCTCGAAACATTTGTTCCAATCAGGAAAACTAACCTTTCTCCTGTCGAAAGGTTTGTTCCATCTCAAAACAAACTCCTGATTGCATCCCTACTGTACTTCCCATATATTGTTGGTAAATCCTCATTGATGCATATTGAAGTCTCCCAGTGTTAAATCCAAACAAGCTTTATCCATGACTGCTGCTGCCATCTCTGGGAAAACGTCCCCCTGGTAAGCGCATCATTTATGGTGAGTTTGGCTGGAGATAATTTCTCCAGAGAATGTCTATATTCCGAATATAAATATATATATATATACATCATTAGTTATTACTTATGTATTGTAACCAAAAAAATAGAAAAACAAAATACTATCAAAATAGTCATAATTTTCTGTTCTATCTTTTTTGGGGCTATAAGTTATATCATGTAAAATCTCCACATCATCTCCCCACAAAGGACCACAGTTCCGCTCCTTTGCTGCCCTTGCTGATCGCACCCATCTCCGTGAGCTTTTGCAGATCAAAGTTCAGCGTCACTGGACCATCTCCCACGCCTGGCAAGACGTGGCCAACATGGGTCATTTTTTGCGCAAGGTAATTAGTAACTACAACTAAGATGTAAAATCTTGGACCCAAAATCAATGGCATATATAGATCCCACTGTCATGGCAAATGTCTTGGGTCTGATCGAAAGATGTTTGATAAAAACCCAATATTCGGAGGCTTTGCACTCCTCATGTGCCTCTAACTCAAAAGAACTTATGCCCAAAACAATATTCTGGCGTAGTTTGTGGTTCATAGCCATGGCTGACCCAAAAATCGTACGTCAGTGATTGTTTCCTCCAGTGTTCCGGCCTGTCAATTGGAAGGACAAAGAACCAGAGCCAGCCTCCTGAACCAAGTCGTAGGCCTTCGAATGAGCAACAAACATCACCAGGATGAGCCCCGTGACAAATATGTAGCATGGGATATAACTATCAATGTGGGATATCCCATCAATTTTTATAGATAAACATTCCGGTGGGCATTTGACCATCCAAAATCGGGATCTGACCATTGACAATCATTGAAATATTGAACATATTTACACATGGGTGCAAACCAACATTGCATGGGATGAGTCTGAGTAAAGCCAACGATATTTTTGCCCCATGGAAGTCCCAGCTACACCAAGCTTGGAAGTGGATGTGGTAATGACAGAAATGTATTTAAGCCGATTGATAGTTGGTGATTGTTTGTAAGGAGCCCATCAGCTCTGCTGAATTCTTGAAGCACATCTGATGGCGGTAGGATTCCATCATCGAAGTTGATTGTTTCGCATGATTTGATAATCCAAAGCTTCCACGAACCAGAATACAACAACCATTTGAAGTGTAACTGGAAAGTGCTCTTAAATCACATTCGAAAGGATTCTCCTGAAATAGCCACTGAAATATACCAGCCAATGATTCCAAATACCATCCAATACCTATGGAAATGGTAAGTTGCAGATGCCGCCCATGGTTTTCGAAGTCAGCCATTTTGGATCCACCGGCACTATCTTCCTTTGTCATGTTGAAAAAAACAAACAGTTTTGTCATGAAATCACTAATGACAATAGTAATGATACTCAATGATACTGCACTAGTCACATCTATCCATAATTCTATCCATAATAGATCCATCCAATCATCATGTTGCTCAATTCTGGATGGATTTGTCATGTTTTTTCCGTTTTTGTTGGTACCTGACCCGGCAGCACAATGGAAGGAGTGCCCGTATCCAGGATACACCTCGCAAGGCAAAGATGAATGGAACATGAATGGGATATTGCTTCCCATACCCTTTGGATCCCTTTTTTAATTGAACAGGTTGCGAAGTGGGAAATTGTCCATCTAGTTCTATAATAGTATACCTATTAATTTAAAAGGTGTATTTCCATAGCTATATTCTATAAATGTCCATCGGTTACAGCTGGGATGTTTCCCTGGATTTGGCATGTACCCCCAAACAAATGGGTTTTGCGTCAAGTCACAAGGGTGAGGATCTGAAACCATCCATGTTCATCCATTTTCGGTTTTTGGAGTGATAATGTGAACCTGAACCTTACCTATATAAATAAGGGCGCTCTGTATCGGCTGTTTGCCCTCGCCCACTTTGATTGCTGGAGCTCGACAAAGCCTCCATTTTCCTGTGGTGACCTTTCAAAGGGCTCAGATTTCTGTGACATGAGGAGAGATTGACGACACTAGGTGAGCCATTCTCAGCTGCACTAGCTGCACTAGCTTTGTCTTTTGTTGTGTCTGAAAATGGGCTATAGCATGATCCGCCCAAAAATAGCAATCTCAATAGGGACAATGATGATTAATCAGTGGATTTTGGGGTACCCTATGTTCAAACAAAGCCATATCTCCTCTCTCAACATCGTTCCTTTAAGGGTCCACCATTGATAATGGAACTGCCACTCTTCAATGGCGTTGTTCCTCTTGAGCATGGTGTGCGCAGCCAATTGTTGTTTTTCGCACCGAATCTGGCCACCTGTATCCATGTTCGGATTGTCCAATGCCAAACTTTTGAGGTGAACACTTATAGCAACCCCAAAACGATGCTGGAAAACATTGGGAAACATCGTCTCACCTCACCTCACCATCCTGGAAGCACTTTTTCTATCTTTTTATATAGGGCTTACTATATGCCACATGCTTTATTTGGGTGTTGCTATCCTGCTGATTCAGCCCCAGGCACGTCTGCCCGTTCACCGGGTCGCAGTTGAGTCCCGTCAAGGTTTCACCGCCCACGGTGATGGACTCCACCTGGCTCCATGTCGGGTTGTCCAGTGGATCGGTGAATGCTGTGCTCCATGGATCCCATCAATATAGCCCCTTTATGGCATCGCATATATACCAGCACCATGGATCCATTGAACGTAAATGATGAATATGATGAATGTAAATTAATGAAAATCAATAAAACACATATGATGAATATGATGAATGTAAATATGTGTAAAATCTCCCAGTGAAATCTCCAAGTCCAATATTTGTAAAAAGAAAAGTGTCGCACACCCCTGAAGTTTCGGAAGAAACTCGCATACTCCCCAATTCTCCACAGACCCAAGATGACCGACATGTTCACTCGCTGTTCCAAACCTGTCCCAATGGAGCAAAAAGACATCCCCCATTGGTTAAGGATCAAGTTTTCCCTCTGGCAATCAAGTAATGCAATGAACATTCTTTACCTTGGACCTTTGATGGGAATATCATGAATGTTTTGAAAGAAAAACAAACATCCATCCCACGAGTTCCGTTTGGAATATTGATCAAATTGTCACCGAAAAAAAACAACATTGCTATTTACGTATATAAAATTGTATATATATATATGGCTTTGGCCAGAAATGGGGATGCCCCTTTTCTGAGGTTCGATAGGGGGAAAATGGGCGATCAACCATCAACCATTTGGCTTTTTTCCCCCTTGCCTGGCAGATCACCTCATGTTGTCTCTGTCTGATAGGAAAAATATGGAAAAACTATGGAAAAAAGTTGTGAACATGAAGATAAAGGTCACCAATGAGATTTTCGGGGCGAATTTTGAGATGTCCCTCATTTGGAAGTTGCTCCTCCCATGTACCATCAGGATCTTTCACTGCCAATACCAAGCAGCTGAGATGTCGTACCAGCCCTGCTCCCCTGACCGAAAAAGTCCCAGGGCTGGCATTACTTTACTTGTAGTAGGCAGTCCCGGGGATGATTTGGATGTCCCAGTTCTGACCCTATACACATAGTATCTATGACACGGCACAAGCATGTGCAGCATGTGCAAGACATGTAAACAGTGAAGGGAGAAGTTTGCTATGATAAATTAAATACACTCATCTTGTGTGACATGCTCGAGAACAACATCTGGCTGCGAAAATCAGAGGTTTGAGCAACACCAAAGCTTCAAACCATGCAGAAATTTAGAGGTACCATCCGACCATGGGCGTTGGACCCAATTTTCAGGGCATGGCATGGGGTGTCCTGCAGATTTTCCTGCAAAAATTGCCTTCAATGGGGTAGTTCCCCCATTTTTTTGAAAATGTCACATACACTATCTGGTTGGTGGTTTTAAACATCTTGAAAAACATTAGTCAAAGGGAAGAATTATCCCATATATTATGGAAAATAAGAAATGTTTGAAACCACCAACCAGCTATTGTTCGTGATATATCCGAAGATGATCCCATGATAATCCCAGTTTATCCACATTTCCTCAATTCAATCCTCATGTTTGATGATAAATCATCCCATTCCCAATGATGGGTTCCCATCAATCCACAATCATTATCCCACTATTCTCCAATTACTAACAATTATCATCCCGATATATACAGTAACTACTATTACTACTAACAATTACAAACAATCACTAACAATTATCATCTCCAATATATTACTAACAATTACAAACAACTATCTCCAATTACTACTATTCTCCGATTCCCCAAAAAAACGTTTTGCTCCAAAAAGTCCTGGCTGCCAGCCCAAGCCGCAGAAAAAATCGTGGCGCCTAGGTGTGCTGCCAAGGCGTACTGCTGGGAGTAATGTTCGTTCTCCATGGCGGCAGAACCCAAATACAGTCGGCCCTGCCCTTCTCCTGGCGTTTGGAAAATCCCGGGATTTCCCAAAGGCCGACAAATCACGGGTATCCAGCCATTGATATCAACCAAAAAATTGTAACAGTAACGAGAATAAGAGTTTTTTCACATGTAAAAATGATGATGATAACAATAACTGACAATAACAATTGCTGTAATTGTGATGAAAATAAACGAAAATACCGGAATAGATATTAGTTGTATCTATGCGTATTATCAATCCACTTATCAATCCCATCAAATGACAAACATCTTATACAACAGGAGATAGTTTTAAGTCATGTTTGGACAGGGGATTGTCCGATCACGTGGAACAACTTGTGGAAAGAAGTATCTGGCGCATCGACCAAGTGCTTGTTGGCTTGTTGGCTACAATTCTTGGTTGATGAACACCTTATTGGGTCAAACGTGTATTATTCGTAGCACTGTATAAGAATGCACTATGTATATATATATATATCAGAATAAAAATGCGAGTTGAGCTGTTTGCAATGATCAGACACTTTGCAGCACCCTTGAAACCCCGGCAACTCCTATCCAGTGAGATTGACTGAAATATATACTTCAAAAAATCATTGAATATGGTATGATCCCACCACTACGTACTTCGGAAACCCTTAGGAATCTGAGGGAGGCTCACCCTGAGACACTGAGACTGGTACAAATCCACCCTAATTTGGGAATTTGAGGGACCCTGGGGTTCAACCTTTTGGAGTCTTATCCAAGGCTCAGGCTGTATTGATTCTGATGTGGTAAACGCAATCAAAAAACATAACCAATTTCACCATTTGGGTGAATTCAGTTAATTCTCAAATATCATGATCTGTAAACCAAACAAAATTGAAGCTCATGAGCAATGAGTGAAGATTTACCACATCATTCCAACATTTTTCGGACTATGCTTTAAATGCGATGTGATGTTGTTCGGCGTGCGGGCTCAGGCGACACCAGTTGATTATCATCATGAGCCATGCTGGCGTGGGGCACTAAAGGGCGATCTCAAAATGAGTTTGGCAAGTGGTTTTTGAATGTGTTTGATTTTGATACTATCTTGATACATCTTGGCTATCCACTCAAATTGAGTTTGTTTTGAAAGTTGGGTACCCTGGTACCCATGGGTACCTCATTCCATCAGCTTGTTCTGGACCTCACCAGGTAATGGTATATCCTCATGAAAATTTCCGGTGAGTAAGTAAATACCTCATTTGAACATGTGTACCCTCTGGTAATTTAACATAGCTATTTAAAATCACCATTTTTAATGGGAAAATCCACTATTAATGGTCATTTTCAATAGCTACGTTAAATTACCAGAGGGTATCCAGAATCTTATTGATTACAATTATATTCCCATGGCAGATGAAGTTTTCCAGCCAGGTTTGGCCCAGAGGGTAAGCAGCTAGGCCAGGCGTTTTTTCTACTGACATCGTCGTACCTTGCTTCTGCGTGCGCCAGCCGCAACTAACAAACCAGCAACTTCCACATGGCCTGCTGAATCAGCAGCACGCACTGCTGTGGCGCCTTCACGTGTCTCTAAGGTAATGTCAGCCCCTGCCTCAATCAACAAGCGAACAACTTCCAGCTGGCCACAACTGGCAGCCATGTGCAATGGAGTAATGCTGTTCTCGGTCGCAGTCTTGTTCACCTCACATCCAGCCTCAAGCAACACGCGAACAACTTCGACATGGCGTTCTAAAATGGCCAGGTGCAATGGTGTCGAGTTGGTGCTCTTCCCAGTTTTGTTCAAATCACAACGGGCCTGGACTAACAGGCGAACAATTTCCACTTTGCCATGAAAAGATGCAAAATGCAAGGCTGTCCAGTTAAAGTCCATCTCGCATTTGTTCACATCAGAGCCGGTCTCAACGAGCAAGCGAACTATCTCGACATCGCCTTGACGAGTAGCCACATGTAGTGCAGTCGATTTACTTTCCATCTCGGTCTTGCTCAAATCAGCCCGGGCCTCGACCAAAAAGCGAACAACATCAATGTGGCCGGTGAACACCGCCAGGTGCAATGGTGTGGAGTTGGTGGGCATCACGATCTTGTTCACATCACTTCCAGCCTCGACCAGCACACGAACAGCTTCGATATGGCCTTCAAGACAAGCCATATGTAGTGGTGTGGAGTCGCTGCCTTCCGTTTGGTTCACATCAGAGCCGGCCTCAATGAGCAGGCGCATAATTTCCACATGACCTTTCTGAGCAGCCACATGCAATGGTGTCAAGTGGCTTTCCGTCAGCACCCTGTTCACAGCACCACTCTTCACCAGCAAGCGAACGACGTCGACACTACCTTGAAGCGCTGCAAAGTGCAAGGGCGTCATACCATCCGCCAACGGGTCCTTGCAAGCCCCGGCCTCAATCAGAAGGAGAACAACTTCCACATGGCCATGACTGGCAGCCAAATGTAATGGAGTCATGTCATTGTCGCCCAAGGTCTTGTTCAACTCAGAGCCGGCCCCAACCAAAAAGCGAACGACTTCCAGATGTCCTTCATTCGCGGCCAGATGCAACGGTGTCCAGTTGCGGGCCATGGCAGTCTTGTTGACATCGCAGCCAGCCTGAACTAACACCTGAACCACTTCGAGATGGCCTTCAAGAGACGCCAAGTGCAGTGGACTTCCTCCACGAGCACATTGAGGCTCCTTTTCCGACCCCGCGTCCAGCAACATGTATGTGCATCCGACCCTCCCATGGCGCGCTGCGTGGTGCAATGGGGTCATCCCAATTCCATCAGCGACATTGGGATTTCGGGGTTGTCGGAGGCTGCGTTCCACTTTGGTCACGTCACCCTCCTCACATGCAGCCATTAGTGCCTGGTCTTGCTCCAGGTCCGGTGGGCAGAAATTCAACAGGACCAGCTGTAGATGTTGAGGAGCCAACAAGAGATCGTCATCCATCACTTCGCGATCTTCCAGAAACAGTCTTTGCTGAAACCTTGAAAATCCAGTGTGACCAGCCAGCCATTCTTTAACGCGTCTGGCTGACTTGTCCTCAAAGTCTTGTGCATCCAAGTCGACCACGGCCTTTCCGGAGACTGCTAAAGAAACGTGCCACATCCCAAAAATGAGGAATTTTATAGCCAGGAACTCGAACCAAAATAACCAAACCATTCCGAGACTCACTCATGAGTCTATGGGAGATTGCCGATGTTTCCCATGATTTTTCTATTCGTTGAATCACAAGATTCCCTACTTAAATCTAAAGATAAACAGTAAAAAACTATACGTTGTCCCAATATGTCCCAATGATATTCACCATATTCCCCAGTAAAATCACCATCGTGTCTCCTTGCTGGCCAGACCAAAAGATGCCGATCTGCTGGTTGTCTTCCATCCTGGATGCAACCGACAAGACAAGTCATTGGGATATATTGGGATTTGTAAGAAGATGGGAAATGATGTGGGTTTATGGGATTTCTATGGGAAGATCTATGAGAAATATTAGGGGAAGAATTTCAAGTGATTTATAGACACCTGTGGGAAGAATTTCAAGTGATTTCTGGTGAGATTATAAGGAATTATTTGCCGCCGTGCGGAACTGCGGAACTATTTCGGGGACTTATGAGGGCACAGCACAAAGCAATCTCACATGGCAGGAAAATCTCCATTTCCAACAGGAAAACCATGGATTTTCCCAGCCGGGGAATTGTCTCATTGTCATGGACCTTTAGGACCTCGTGACTTTAGTGGAAAAAGGGAACCCTAATGATCCCTCATGATGGGATCATTGAAATAAACTACGCCCATAAGAAACCCAATAATATGGGAAGATTATGGCCCTAATGGGCCCGCCCATAAGAAACCCAATAATATGGGAAGATTATGGCGGGCCCCCTATAACTGGATCACTGGGTTTCATCATCCCAGTTCTATCGTTAACGAAAAAAGTTAAAACCACCAACCAGTTGCAGGATAGGCCAGTTCAATTAACCCCTTCAAGCAGAGTGTTCCCCAACATCTCCCAAGGATGGTTCTATCCCTTGGCCATTTAAGGTGATTTTCAGTGACTTTTGCTGGTCATCTGAAGCGTTGTTGGTGTCCACCCTGATCATTCTTGTCAAGATCCTCATGTTGGCACGAGATGTATATTGTTCTTTTTTCGGGCTTGGTTGCTTCTACGTAGAAGATGAAATTGGAAGGGATTCTTCTCCTGAATCCGTGTGTGTGTGTGTAGAAAGTATAGTTGAAACTTGAAGATCGCACATCTTGGTCATTTCAAGGATCTAAACTACCACCGTTTCAGCGCCCACTGCTCATTCCTGCCCACAACATAGGGCTTTACACTTTTTGAAACACCTGTTCATACATATACAAGCATGACATACTACATACATTCATATATATATATATATGGGTTAAAACCTATTGTTATCATAGTTGGGAGAATTACCATCCATTAAGCAGCTATTTTGGTGTTTACCAATGTACCAGGGTTTTGACCCACCTCAGGTGCTGCACCAGCGGTGGTGGCACGACCCCGGCGGGCCTTGGTACCGGGGATTTGCCAAAATTGGGATGGAACCTACAGGATGGGGCCCCAGTTTGTTAGCTAATCCTGTAACTATAGTTAGTAACTAAGAAACCAACTGGGGTTATAACTAGAATTATAACTATAGTAACTATAGCTATGAGACATATCATGAAATATTCAAATGGGGTTATAAACCAACTATTTTTTCTGGGAAAACCATCCTGTAGAACAAATGTGGAATGAACTAGCGGAAACTGGAGATCTAACCATCTTTCGCCATTTAAATGGTGGATCGTCCGTGAAAAAAATGGAGTTGACTTAAGACAATGGTGATGCAATAGGCATATGATTCTCATATGATGGTGATATGATGATATGTCAACAAAAGTACCCAAGTTTTGGTGCATCAAATGATGAGGTTTCCCTCATCTTCAGACAGACCCACAAAACAACCAGATGTTGGGATAAAACCTGTACAATCATGACATGGGACGGGTCAAAATCATGTTCAATGTGGGTATTGTGCAAAATCAGTATATATTAAGATCCCCTAATGGATGGTGTAGTACTAATGACCTGATATTTGTGAGTCGATGGGTACCTCATGGTTCACAAATACACAACTAAACATGTGACAATCTTGTGGGCCTTAATTGTTTAGCGATACCCAAATCAAGATCAAACGTCATCCATTTGGAAAGGAAAAGTTTAAAATGTTCAATAAAACCCCAACCAAAACGTGGTTACCTCGGCAGCAATGCGCTTGTTTGTGACAAAAAAATGACAGTTTCATGGTCATTTATTGTAGACCGTTCTCGCTATCCCGAATTGATTCATAAGCCCACTATTTTTTTACTTTATTTTTTTGCATGTGTGGATGAAAGCAGCAGCTATTTAAGTAATATTGCATCAATCCCAAATCCAAACCTGGCTTGCTGAAATCAAATGGATGGATGCGTTTCCAACTCTTATATGACCGTCATTCAGATTCGTGTCTGTTGCTGAGTGTCACCTAGGTTTGATCAATCGCCTGTTATTCCTGGACAACCATCAAAAACAGGGATTTAGCTCCAAAAACGTGACGTAATGGGGAGACAATGGGCGTATTTCATCAACAATATCCATTTGCATTGATTCAATTGATCTGATAAAATGGGGTGTACCCCCTTATTCCATCCCTTGGTTCGAAACCTCATTGTGCCCGGTATTTCATGACCATAAATTGGGTGTAAATCACTCGATTTTGGGATAAAACGCGTTTAGTCCCACCTGGGTCCATCGACTATGATAGCCGTCACGAAGAAGCCAGCTATTTCGGAAATTATCACTGGGTGTTGTCTTACTATACATGGGTGTGTCTGACAAAGGTGAATACCCTCCAAACAACCGTTTTTTAGGGTAAATGATGAGAAACATGGACAAGCGATCAAATGGTGGGGTAGCCGAAAACCTCCTTGTTTCTGGGAGACTTTATGAAGCGAAATTGTGGATCTTCCAATGCCCCAAAAAAATAATCGGTTTGAAAATATGGATCTGATTGGGGTTCTGACCCCACTTCCTAGAAGTTTTAATGTACTACTTGCGCATCTTTGGGCGGGTCAAACACTACTTGCGACTTCACCCTGTCGCAACTGCTGCAACTGTGGCAAAAATTGCAAAAAGGATACTCGCCACTGCTCTTTGGGATCAGAAGATTTTCTTGCCTTTTTTGGGACTATTGGGAACGTAAAACTTGTGTGCATCTTTACTGTTACATCATGTTTACCGTTATCATCATCATCATTATCATTCTGATTCAATCTTCTCGTGCAAAAACAAACCCCATAACAATATGCAATAAAAAGCGAGTCCATCTTGAATCGCTTAAAATATGCGGTCAATGCCAATGATCACTAGCAATAATCAACATTATTCTTGACAATCACTACTATTGATAATCACCATCATCACTACTTGTTCACAATGCCGATATCACTATTATCGATGATAATAATAATTTGCACTAGTGTCACTATCATGTTTGTCATAGTTATTGCATATTGCTACTATCGTTACTGTTGTCATTATTACTATTCGCTATCATCAGTGTTATCATATACTAGTTGTTTAATGAATAGTTATTATCATTCGCTCTTGTTGTTGCTCTTGTTATTATTCCAAGCATATTATCCTCACCATCATCACTGTGGCTATTATTGCTTATTATTGGCTAAATCACCGAAGCAAAAAAGGCAAAAAGGCCGTGACTTCATCCGTGGCTTCCATAGCCACTGTGCCAAATCAATACTACTATGACATTCTCAGACATTATCAAACATTTACTATGATTACTATTCGGTTACCATGAAATATTACTTTACTACATTTACTATGATTACTATTTGGTTACCATGAAATATTACTTTACTACATTTACTATGATTACTATTTGGTTACCATGAAATATTACTTTACTACATTTACTATGATTACTATTTGGTTACCATGAAATATTGCTTTACTATCCACCTACTATGATTGTTATACTCAATTACTATAAAACTATTGGTTACCAAGGATGGTTATAACATTGATGCCATTATAAATAAGTATAATAAGTTTACATTATTATATAGCCATTCATAGACAATCAGGTGATATAGTAATGACCTCACAACATTGATGGATATCAGTATAACATAGTATAACATTGATGACCATTGATTGTATCATTATTGTTACCATTCGTTACATTCCTATCCTCCCACCTTCTGAGCATTGGGCATACCTGGCATCCCTGGACAAGGAACTGCTGAGGGCACGTGAACTTCTCCTCCCCCAGCGTCATCTGATTTTCGTCGGCCGCCAGATACGCCACGTCCAGCTGCCTCGATGTATAAGCCCCGGAAAGATAGGAAAGGGCTCAGGTGGGAACACTATTTCACAGGGATTTTACGAAAATCTGTCGTTTTGGGGGGTGCTAAGATATATATATATATATGTATATGCATGTGTATGTTCATATAGTATCTGTATAGATAGATAGATGGATAGATAGATAGATGGATAGATGGATAGATGGATAGATGGATAGATGGATAGATGGATAGATGGATAGATGGATAGATGGATAGATGGATAGATGGATAGGGATAGGAAAGGATAGGATAAGATAAGATTAGATTAAGATAAGATAGATAGATAGATAGATATAGTATCTGTATGTATGTATGTATGTATGTCTGTCTGTCTGTCTGTCTGTCTGTCTGTATGTATGTATGTATGTATGTGTATATATATATATATAAATGCATATACATGTATGTAAAAGCCAGAATTATCGAAATTGAGAGGTGCAAACAATACATGTAAGATCATAATATGTCGAGTCGAGGTTGACATTGCACATCACTTCACATGCATCAGACATCGTGAATCTATAGATGTGAAGCAATACGGGCAGAATAAGGGTAACCAACACTGATGCGTATAGTACATGGTTAGTCCGCAAGCACTCGTACATGGTTTAGTTCGCAATCGTTCAGGTATGCTACAAAAGAAACTTCCCACCAATGAAAATGTCGTTAAACGATAGTGGTCTTCAATCTGCATTGTGATTTCTCAAAACTTGCCGAAACACACCCTGTGAGCAACTGACCTGCGATGTATCTATGAGCCGAAAAGAGGAATTGCTTTGCCCTCTTCAGCTGTCTCAGACTGATTCTGTCTGCTTTCCTGTGCTTTTGGGTAGAGGGTAGTGATAATTCGACTCTATTCGACCGGCCTTCTGCAAAGCGTCGTGTGAAAATCGCCCTTACTGCATCCTATGTGGATCGTCTTTCCAGTGCGACAAATCGCTGGAAATTAAACCTGGAACTATCCTGGAAACGATCCAAGCAAGCAGCACAGATCAGTGAAGGTTGGCTTGTGAAACCGGCTGCTGTCTATACATAATTTTACATTTGTGTATATATCATATCAATAAATATAAAACCTATATACATATATACGTAGAGAGAGAGAGAGAGACAAGCAGAGATATGCACAGTAAATTCCCGTCCTTTCCAGCTTGCTCTACGAAACAACGGTTCTTGGGGCCTGAAAGCAATGCCGAAGATGCCATCCAATCCCTGAGTACAGGGCATATTCTTCTCCTGCGGAGAGACCAAACGACCAAAAGAACTCCAGGACACGGGAACGTCAAAATAGCTGGGGACAGTGGATGTTCATCCCACCAAAAACTGATAAGCATTGCATTTATAGGTATTGAATGGTATTGATCCATAGCCATGTCATAAAACCAATGGCATGAACTGACTCAACCATCAACCTCTGAGCCCTTCTAAGTGTTGATGTTTGACCGTAAAGCGCAAAGAGATCAGGCTCCTTATGTTCCCAAAAAAAACATCACCTTCGCATAGACCATTGAGGTTTGTATGAAAATAGGCGACCCATTTCCATCTCATGGTTGGGCAAACCCGTACCGACAGCCCACAGCTTGAACTCCTACTTATTGCTGACATCCAGATATCGTGGCAAATGATGACAAATGATTGTACCCCCTGGTGATCAAACATGGCTTGTTGGAAAATCGACCATCTAGTTAATCTAGTTTGATGATTTGTCCCAGCCAGAAACCTCCATTTGCTTCGAGGATTTCCCAGCCACGTTTGACACCGGAGGGGTTTTTCCCACGACAAACCCCGCGATTTGACTCAGCTCCTGCGTCATGATGCTATAGGCTGCCTGGTTCAGGGTCACATTGCCCGCCTCGGGCGGGAAAGATCATGAGAAACCTAGGACCAAATCAGGTGAGTCACAGAGTCCAAAAAGACTAGCCAATTGGGATCGTCATCCCAGGTAGGATGGAAAATGAGTATGTATATATATGTATGTATATGTATGTGTATAAATATGTATATATATATATATACAGTATATAATATATATGTAACACAAGTCTCTATCTCCTACTGTTGCATGCCAAGTTTCTCTTGGTGAAATCACTGGAAATACCTTGAATTTTAGTGCAAAATCTCAAAATTCTTCAAAAAATAATACACTCTGGTTATTTAACATAGCCATGGAAAATGGCCCATTTATAGATGATGGTCCCATTAAAACCTCCATTTATAAGGTATTTTCCATGGCTATGTTAAATAACCAGAGGGTACCCCTAAATCAGAGGTTCCCAAATAAATTGGCCCTGGGTACGCGTGGCTAAAAACCCCATGGTTTCCCCCTTTCGCTTTTCACACAAAAAAAGTCCGCGAATCAATCAATCCATTCTTGGGGATGCCAAAATCATCATCTATCTGGTTATGACTAACAGTTCGCCATGGAAAGATCCACCCATTTTATAGCTAGGTAAACCATCTATTTCTATGGACCATCTATACCATGGCTATGTTAGTCATAACCAAGGGTAAAATCATCTAAAATCCCTATCCGTATGTTGAAAAAAGCCATGAAATCACCCTGTTGCCCAGCTAAAATCTGCCCGTGATCGCCGGCGGCGAAAGGCACCTTCACCGGGCCCTTGACGAAGGGCCCCCAGTAGCCAGTGAAGTCGCCACCGGGGTTGTATAAGTTGCAGGAGATCTCAGTGGCAAACAGTGGCAATACTAGTGACAATACTGTGGATGGTTAAGAAATCTTGCACCAGCTGCTAGGTGGTTTATCCCATTGTTTATAGGGTTTCAACCATCCAAGGTGGTGCAGGATTTCGCAACCATCCACAGTATTATTGAAATTTATTGGATATGTCTAGCAATGTAAATTTGAGATCTGCAGAGATCTTACTAATCAAGTAGAATATTCCACTGGAGACATGTTTGGGATAGTTCTAATGATTCCTAAATATTACTCATGAGAATATCATAAGAACATATGTTTTGATATCAGTAAGATTGCTAATGGGATATTAACTGAGATCTCGGTGTGTTAAACCTAACGGTTCATCCCCTTAACGAACCAATATATAGTCCCAGATACACTATTGGTTAGTGGTTGCTAAGGTGGTAAACCCAATGCCCAATGCCACCATCCCATTCATCCTTATCTAATTGGGTTTACTATATCATTTAGTGTATGCACTATAAGATATACGCTATATGTTGTAGGATACACACAGAGCAAACATTTTTGCGAGACATGATATACACTAAATTGATGATGTAGAAAAGGATTGTATGTATATAGATGTAGATATCTGTGTAGACATGTAGTATGTATCTAGAGATTATATATATATGTATATATATAGTTACTTATTTATGTATGTACCTATGGATATGGAAATGTCAGGATGATTCAGGATGTATATATATATATGTATATAACTGTTGTAGTATTCATATCAACATGTTACTTGCTGTATCTTGAAATATCTGAATCCAACCCGAACCAACACAAGCTGCCAAAATGTGGGCATTGCCGATCGTTCAATGATCATTCCTTACAAATGTGTAGTTTGGATTTGTAGTCTATGAACAACCCCTGTTGCCTCATGTCCTACCACAAACTAAAACAATAAAAAATGTCATTGGACAATTTGGAAATCTCAAAGTTGGTTGGCTGGTGGGTTGGAAATCCAAAAACTAAAATCATCAAAGACATTCAAAGACCCAAAAATCGCGTGTGGTGAAGCGGTTGGAGACGACAAATTATCCACACCTGTGGCTTTGCAACGTCTTACCCTCCAGTAAATTTACACAATTTAACATAGATATTGAAAACAAGCATCTATAGCCTATAGCTGATTAACCTATTCTAAAACGGTGATTTTCCATCGCTATGTTAATTTACCCGAGGCTACATCATCCCTGTGAAAAAAAAAAAAACATGCAACAGTGGTGTTCCACTGTTAGAAGTGCCCAGCGGCGTACTCGGAGGATTGATACTGCGCATCCGAGATGAACTGTTTGTTGCAGAACGCCAAAGTGGATGAACCGGAGTCCAATACCATCCTGGTGCCCAGTCCATGAGTCGGCTTGTGTTGATTTACTCATCCAACATGGCTGGGAAATCCTCGAAGTTTTTCTGGAGGTTTCTGGCTGGGAAAATCATCTACTTTTTGGCTGGAGTTTCCAGCCATGTTGGATTACAGGAGGGTATACTCAATGATCAAAATTGGTGGGGTGGGTGTGTGTGCCCTGGCAATCACACTTGGGGGTACCAACTATGGCATCCAGAGTCCCTTTTTTGTTTGGGAAGATGTTGCTGTTGAATTCACTTGAGGTGACAGTCTCATCAAACGAAGAAGATCTGATATGCGGCATAGCTTCCTCTCAATTAAAAAAGGCATCTCTCGTGGAGAAAAAAAAAATATATATCCTGCCCATAAAGCACATGAACTCCTGGATTTCCAAAAATGCCATGTTTATTTACCAGAGCCTCACAATGGTGTTTTTACCAGTCCCACCAACCCAACCTCTGCTTGGGAAACCATTCCTCGGTCGACAAGAGCCAGGGCTGGCTGGTGGTTGGCGGTTGGTGGTCACCGCATCAACTGGGCCCCCCCCAATACAGTACCCACTTGTTTACCATCAAAATCTAGGGGTGTCCTGTAAATTCCCCCCTTTAGCGCCCCCCAAAAAGATACCGAAATGTGTTTCCAGAATGGTGGTTCGATGATATGTTCTCCATATTTTCGTATATTTTCCAGGTTTCCCGCTTTTCTATCTATTCTGGGGTTGCTATATATATATACATATAAAATTGGACAAACATCTGTGAAAAAAATTGGATAAAACGGGCCACCAGGTCCGCCCAGGCACACCCTGAAGACTCTGTGGTTCTACGTCCACCAGCAGCCGTGGTCCACCAAACCAGGAGCCCACGGAAAGGGGGATGCCCTGCCAACGACAGGCATTTGTCACATTCATCATGAGAAATCCTACCCTCTGGTAAACTAACATAGCTATTGAAAATCACCATGTTTAATGGGAAAATCCACTATAAATGGCCATTTTCAATAGCTACGTTAAATTACCAGAGGGTAGGTGGCCTGGGCTTTGAACACTCGGAAAATCATCTAGAAATGGACATAGAAAACAGCCATGTGACTGACACTCTGACACTGACAAGCCACATGACTGATTACCAGAGGGTGTCTGGACCGTCTTTTTTTGCTTGCAAAACTTGGGAAACCATGTATTCAATCATGGAAAAGAGATGCAATCCTGTGAGGGAATTCCCGCCAGTTGGATCTCCAAGCGTACTGAAGGGTGGTCATTCCACTTCTCAACTGGTCCATCTGGTCATCACTGAGAAGTCCCCCAAGTGGGATATCCCATACGTGTTCGTAACCTTTGTCGTAACATGTCGTAACCATTGCCAGCTGTGATGAACATCGAGCGCCCCGATTTGCCGCCTCTTTCACGAGTCTGAAGCTGGTTGCCGAAGATTTGCTTGAAGCCTGCGATCGCCATTGCCGAAAAAGGTGGCGATAATGGTGATCTGGCGATCTGGGTCCTACTTGGGTGCCAAAAACAATCATGAGTTTGGATGGCTAATGCTAAGATTGATATATACAGTATACACATGACATACACAAGATACACACAAATACCAGTTTCTCTGCGGCTGAGCATTTCTTTGGTTGGATTGAGTTTTGAGTCAGCAACTACGGATGCACGAAAGCATTTCAGCAAAAAAAACTGCCTGTAATAATTGGAATCGTGTTTCCAAGCCCGTGGGGCCGTTGGGCTCAGTGGGGCTTATTTCTGGAGATCCCGGCAAAAATTTCCCGACAACCAGGTTTCAAGTCATGCAGGAACGCACAGGCATAGAGACCCTAACATTTTCTCATGGGGCACAAGCTGCTTATGTGATCACTGAATGCAACTCATGCAACCTATTGACTTCATCAGCTAACAAGTTGCAAATATTGCCAAAACATCCGGAAAAAAAAGAAAACGGATTCCAAACACCAAAGAAATGGATATCAAACCCAGCGGTTCCTACATCAACCGGGTGTGCCGAGACGGCTCGGCCTGGTTTTCCCCACTTTTTGCGACCTGGCACTGGGCGATGGCCCGACAATGTTGAAAATTGCTGATAGCAACCCCCCAAAAGTTGTTTCTGAAAAAGACATGTTCTAAGTATAATATGTTCATTATTTTGCACCCTCCTATCTTTACCACTACTGTAGTAAGCTTTTACTATTCACTATTCTGTCCATTTGGGGGTGCCATATCTTGATGGGCCGGAGCCTATGGGCCAGCCATGACTCGACGATTTTTTGACTCCCTGGAGTGTCTTAGTAGTAGTCGGATCTATGTTGACTATGTATACTGTATACTCATGTGACAATACTAACTAGATGGACCTATGGACATGGCTTCCAGGTTGAGAGTTGTGATGACGGCATATTGTGGCCATCATCAACACTCCTGGTGTGAGAATGCCCATGCTCTACCATGTTTCACTATCTCGAGCAGTACGCACTAAACCTGAGCCATTTTGACCCTCCTGTGCTTGGCTGCTAGAAGTTTTGGAAGATGACATGCGTCAACTTCTCTTACTGTACACTGTACACACACCTTTTCAATGCGGCCAGAAGTGACAAAGAACTTGGGGGTGCTGGTCGGTGAAAAGTCAGTGGGGATCCTCATCCAACCATCTTAGAAGGATGTTACTTTCCAAAAACTTCATTTTCGAGGTTCCCCAACACGAGCATGGAGCCATATAGGTTACGAGCCATATACATATACATATGTGTATATACATATATATATATGTATATATATATATGTATATATATATATGTATATATATATATGTATATATATATGTATACATTATGTATATATGGTGCATATGCATTTATATATATATATATGTATGTATGTATGCATGCATGTATGTATGTATGTATGTGTGTACGTAGGTAGGTAGGTAGGTAGGTAGGTAGGTAGGTATGTATGTATGTATGTATTTATGTATGTATGTATGTATGTAGGTATGGATGGATGGATGGATGGATGGATGTATGGATGTATGGATGGATGCATGCATGCATGCATGCATGCATGCATGTATGTATACATATATATGTATATGTATATGTATATGGTGGTTGATCTACATTCTTTCATCCGAGATCATAATTCTTTACAAGGACCTTTAGATCAACGCCGTCCCCCTGCGCCTTGTCCTCCGATGAGCCTAAACGAGTTGCAGCCTAGAAACGGTGCTTTTTGCAGCATCAAAACGGTTGGATTTACACTGGGGCAAACGGTTGGACAGCTGTGGAAAACCCATGGTATCATTTTCCTAGGACACTATGGCTTTTCCACAGCTATGTTTAGCAGAGGGGAACTAACAAACAAAAAGGAAAGTTGGCTACGACAAATCGGGACTGCACTTTGAACAGGTCTAGTCTAGTCTATGTTTGCTGGGGGATGGTACAGTAAGTATATAAGTATATCAAAAGATTTAACATGATGCTGATTTTTGTTAAAAATATTTAAGAGGTTCTGTCAACTGGTTAACTTTGGGATTTTGCACGCCGAAATAAGAATGGGAATGTACTTTGATAGACTGGGATTTGATGTTACACATATGTTATCACATGTGTGCCCAAAATGTCAATAACAAGGGGATTTGGTTGACAAAATGGGATTAAATTTCAACAAAATTAACTATGTTAGTTGAGGTAAGATATGATGACTATAATAGATAAATGTATGTATAAATTATAAATGTGTAAGAGTTGATTGTGACAAATTCCGCGTGATCAGGTTTAACGGGTTTTGACAGCTTGAAGTAGAATGGTTATACCATCTGGCAACCGAATATGTCTGGCTGGAGACTGGAGAATCCCCCTTTTCTCCAGGGAAACGAAGAACAAATTATCAGAGGTTCCATGCATCTTTTTCCCCAAACCCAGGCCCCCCACAACACCTCTACCCTTAGACAGCCTGAGTCCTGAATTTGGGGGGGATGCCCAGCACCCATTCCTCGCGGCTTGAAGGGAGCCTCAATGGTGGCGGAGATGCCTTCCATCCCGTTGCAGCCCTGAAGAAACAGCGACGCAGCTGCTACTGCCACTGCTACCAACATCGACGACCTCAGAAGCTGATGGGCGACACCCGCCACAGCCACAGTTTCAGGTCCCCCGAGGCAGTAGAGCCTTTGGGGGGGGGCTTTATGACATCATTTTTCCCATTGGTTCCATGATAAGTAATTCAAAATACATCAAATACACTCTTGTGATTGCTTTAATCTCCCGCCGTAGTGGATAGAAACGTATTTTCAATGCTTATATCACATGTTGTCTTTCGTTGGACCCCCAGTGGCTCGCAAATGAGCTCCCGCCAGTAACAACTATGTTGGTTCGTGTGCTGGGTCCTGCACATGTACCAGCACATCTCCATCCTTACCATGGGCAAAACATACACGATTTTGCCCGTCCCCAAAAAAAGATCAAAAAAATGGGATTCGCTGAAACTTTAGCAAAAAAAAATATGCGGTTCCCTAAAGAACACCATCTTGGGCCCAACCTCCCCTCCAAATGGTGGATCCAGGTCACCATCGATGTCCCATGTCTGCGGAGGCCATGGCTACGTGCAGGACCAGATTCGGTGCTTGCCACGGGACCCGTGTACTATGTATGCTGAGCCACGGTCGACCAAAGGTGCATGAGGCATGACGGACAAAATGCTGGAACACAGCCGAGGGAAACACATGGGTTCTTGAGAGATTTAGAATAGATATATATATATATCTTTTAGCTATAGATAATATATATATATACTGAATAGTTGGTGGTGGGTATACACCATCGTCCTAACAACAGTTTGCGGGAATTGATTAATGTTCAATGAAACAGTGTGCATGTAGCTGCAACCAAAAAGCTAATAAAGAACCGAGGTCGTCCTTCGAAGTAGTTCAAGGAACAAGCATAACAGGTCCAATTGCGCCTGAATGTTGCTTCTTTACCAGCTGGTAATAGGTGAGCCCCCCAGCTTTATGTTTGTTTATAAACCCATGACCTGCTTGGTATCCTATGGTTATGTCCCCCATAAACCCTGGCCCTAGTGAACCTAGATATGTGCATCTCTGCAGTGTCGTTGATCGGTGAGTGGAGGATTGAAATTTCCTTGTTATGAGATGGAAGTTTGAGGGATTTGATCTTGGCAGCTTGAGTGGCAGAACCTTCAAAGTTTGATTTGTCCATTGGTAATGATGGTGGTTGAGTCCCAATTTGGGTTGCTCATTTTGCTCATCTTTGCTGCTTAAATTTCCCATACAGATGTTGGTTGCCTCCTCCTTTCTAAGTGACAAGGGCCAGTCACATCAACCCCCAAGTTTCAAGGCCTGCGTTCCATGGCAGCAATCAGCTGTGCCAGTCCAGAACACTCAGCGCTGCCCCGCTGTCCTATAGAAAGACAACAAAATCTGCTGTAGGCTCTGATGTGCAAAGAACATCTTTTCTGTTGGCCAAAATCACTTCATTCTGGGTATGATCTCCCTCTCTCAAGGTAGCGCTGCTATCGATATCCCCATATTCCTTCGGGTACGGTTGTGTCTTTGGAGGGATGTCCTGTCCTTCATGGTTCACCCTGAGCCAAAACCAGCCGGAACGATGCTGTTGGAGACCCCCCCAATACAGTTTGGGCCTATGATGGTTTATGATGTTTGGAGCGAATCTGACCCACCAACGTTTCCATACTTTTTTTCAGGGCGAAGCTTAACGATCAGCTATTGGGGAGTACCTTTGGGGGGGTTGGTTCAATCCTAATACTATAAACATAATATATATATATATAACAAATAAATAAATAAATATGTTACAATAAATAAATAAATAAATATAAATATATATATAGATACCCACAACATCCGCTGCCCCAATGAGAACGACTCCAATTATGCATTCCGAGGTGATGCTTCCTTTAGCTATCAAACCTCAATCGACACCTGTTTTTTCCTCCTCCATCTGATTCTCAACTCCGAAACAAGCTTTAAGCTATCCTGGCTATGGCTCCAAATTCTTCGCACTTGGACCCACTTGCGACCACAAGAGCTGCCAAAAAAATCCTTTCAGGCCATATTCAAAGGCCATTTCCATCAGTAGGACGCCCTGCAGGTCGGAGTTGTATTCGGAAACCGGCGAGTTGTATTCGGAAAGTGGGAGTTATATTCGGAAACTCATATTCGGAAAATAGACACCGCGTAATTATTCGGAAACTGGGAGGACAGGAGATAGAAACTACTTGACCAACCGGAAAACAAAACTAAATCAACCCAAAGAAACCCTAAACCAACCCCTAAAGAAACCCTAAACAACCCCTAAAGAAACCTGAAAGCAACCGTAGAAAATATATATATATAATTCATCATTCATCGAGCATAAAAACAGAGACACTGTATCACACACAAAAAACAGCCCAAGGCCATTCTAAAAACGAGTCAACTGCAGCTCCAAAGCTGCCAAATATTACCGCCCAACGCCGTTCTTGCAGGCCGGTGGCAGCAGATGTGTACAATTGCATTCTGGCGTTGCTTTATTCCCAATGTGATGAGAAAGTGACCCAACTACCCCTCTCAACTTTCAGTTCCATGAATCCTGTGGCAAAATCCTACATGAAAATAGCCCAAAAAAAAAACCTTCCGCTGTCACCCATTCTGACATACAGGAAACTTGCGCACATTGTCGTTGGCACGCGATTTATGGGGTCAATTGTAAACTGTCAAGAAGTTGAGAAAAACAAGCTCGCCTTGAAGCAGCAACATGGAACATTTGGCACATTGGCACTCAATATGTTTTCCTAAAATCGCCCAACAAATGGAAGATTCACCCAAAAAAAACGAACACCATTGAGTGGGATTGGCTTGGCAATCTGCTTTCCGCGTACACAAGGTATTCAACTCCTTGATGAATTGCTCAAAGACGCATAGTGGTCCGCAAACAAGTTGCAAAGTAAACCAAACAAATTGGCAAGGGATCTATGTATATATATATATACATATACATATACATATACAGTACAGTATATCTTATTGTACATATATACGTATCTATATGTGTATATATATATGTATACATGTAGACATACACATAAAATGTAACAGCTCTATTTTTGCAGGACCCATATTAACCCATTTTCATGTGACGCCATCTCTCGCCACCGGGCCGCGCGTTTCGGGCGTTTCGCCTCACTTCAGCGCAGCCTCCATGGAGGCATAGGATGGTACCTAGAGCCATCGATGGAGCGAGGCACCGTGGCACCGTGGCACTGTGGCATGGTCTTCCATAGATTGAAGCAGATATGTATCAAATGTCCATAGATATAGTTATATATATATATATGGCAGTGTGTCAAAACCTTGTACCCCTGGTGAACATCAAAATAGCTGGTAAATGGATGTTCATCCCACTAAAAATGGTATTAATAGGATTTAATAGGTATTGATCCACTGCCATATATATACATATATATATTTATAATGTGTATATGCATATGTATATATGCATATGTATATGCATACGTATGCATACTAGACCCATCTGGGCATCTTTCGTATCCGGGAGCCATCCGTTCAAAAGTCCCCAAAACCTGTGATCGTCGTCGAACCACCCATCTGAAAAAGATGCTCCTGATTGGAGACCATCATCCAATTCCTGGGGTTGAAAATAACACATGGGAATGAAACCACCAACTAAATCATCATTGGTCAAGAAAACATTCTATACGGTAGCTTCCTAAAATGGGGGTACCCCAAAATGGATGGTTTACAACGGAAAATCCGATTGAAAATGGATGATTTCGGGGTACCCCCATTTTAGGAAACCTCCATATATTCCCGTGGTTGTCGTAGTTGTTGGTTAAATCTGCTTAAATCCCTGTGTGACTGGTTGGTCAGACCGACATTGACCTACTCCTGTCCATTCAGTTGGGAGACGACCCTCACGCTGAGAAAACCACGGTAGATCTATTTCACCACTGGCTCTTGCTTGTGCTCCTAATATGATCTAACCCCGTATCATCTCACATCTTGTTTTTTTCTTGAAAGGGTCCACAACTCGCGGCATTTCCCAAGTGTTTCCTGGTCCTTTCCTTGTTGAATTTACTCATTCCTATCAGAATCAATTCTTATCCATGAATTCCACGTCTTTTGCTGATATCACAGCACATCCATGTTCTTGTTGCCTACACCTCTGAAAACTCAGGCCACGTCTAACGACAAAATCATCCTTTGAATCCTATGTTAGGTTTCATGTCGTCGCTAATACTAAGCCTGTGTTTAAACCTGGTTTAGTCTTTTATCCCCATCAAAATTCGGGCAAATTCGGGCAGCGTCGCGGATGCCTGTGATCCCAATGCGTCGCTGGTGTTTCGTTTCCCGATCCGTAGACGCCAGCCCCTGGTCCCCCTCAACTCTGTGCCGGATGGCCGGCGGAACACGCCAGCGGCGGTTAAATACATCTAGTGACTACAATCAAACATTCAGTCAGGCATGGGACATCAAAGTACTAACCCATCAAAAAGCTTCAAAAACCTTGATTTCAGAATCGTTCTGGTACTAAAAAACAAAAAATCAAGGACTGAAATCTGGGTTTCTCTAAGAATATGGAACCCATGTTTTTTTTGAGATTCATCATTTTCATTCATTTTCCTGATGAAATAGCCATGTTGGTATATTTTTGCGGTATACCCCATGTTCAGACACACAAAAACTCCCGGGGCACGGCATGCACGTCGCCAAAGGCGGCCACCGACAATTTGGAGCCTAGCATCTTGGTGGCGCAGGCAGCAACCTGGCGGGCAGGATGCTGGGCTTAGCAATCCCCGGGGCGATGTTAGTAAAATCTACCCTCTGGTTATGACTAACATAGCCATGGTATAGATGGCCCATATTTATAGATGGTTTACCTATTAAAAATGGGTGGATCTTTCCATGGCGAACTGTTAAATAACCAGATGGTAATCCTAAAATCCATCTTAAAAGCGGGGCTTACGGTAAGTGACTCTAAAAGTACCTCTCCAAAAAAATAGGACATTTGAATCAAATCCTAAAAAGACAAATGTTTCTGCATGTTTGGAGGTCTATTGGAAACAATCCATAAGGGACGGCGACGACAAATGCTCGAAAATGCAATCTTTTTCTATGATGAGATACATTTTTTTCGCAACGCCCCCAAATCAATTGTTCGAATTATATAATTCATACAGACAGTAATAGCTTGAAACGAATCATAGATGATTTTCCAGACGAACTTTCCATTTAGATGCCCATTTACAGGGGATTTCCCAGCTAGCCGTGTTTGATGACACCGGAGGGGAACAATGACAAGCAAACAGAAATTCTCCATGACTCTGTGATCAACTTAGTTATTTTAAAACGAACCACTTGCCAGCAGTCGTGTGTATTTTCATCATATCATGTATAGTAACCCCCACAAAGATAGAAAAGTGTTTCTAAGATGGTCTAGGTCTAGATGATATGCACCTCATATTTCTAGGTGTCCAACGGTTCTATCTATTTGGGGGTTGCTATAGTCATTATGGATAGATATATAGTTCGTTATAGCTAGTTGGATTTCCCTCTTCCCTTAATCATATAGATAATAGATAAATACAAATTGTACAAATAGTAGCTAAATAGCAATACTCAGTAGCTATACTACTATAGTATGTATGTAGATAGTCCTATCTATATGATTCTATACATACATATATATATACACATTTATATATATATGTGTGCGTGTGACTACCTATATCATTCTAGAGACAGATAATAGCGAATTATCTCTGTGATATGTCCCTCCTCTATATTCGTCTCCCTATAGTCGACAAACAATATATCATGACATCATTCTAAGAGACAGAACAATAGATAATTAGTGGTTATTAGAGATTTACTAAATATATCATATATATATATATAATTATATAATGTGTATATATATATATACACATGTATATATTGATACATACCACAGGATAATTCCTGGTTCATCTCCCCCTTTTTCCTCTGCGTTTTCGCCATGTCATGGCTTCACCTCCTGCTCCGTCACAGCATCGATGATCTTGGCGAACTCCGCCGCCGAGCCGTACCTGGGTTGGGCTGGTTGATATGGTGTAATCATATTGGTGAATACTGTATATCAAACAATATACATATATCTATATATATATGTATGTGCTTATTATACTGTATATATATATATTATATATACTTATATATGCTTATTATATAATAAATATATATGCTTATTATATAATAAATATATATTATATTATATTATATTATATTATATTATATTATATTATATTATATTATATTATATTATACTATACTTGATTATACTAAATTATATTATGTTATTTAAAATATAATATATTATATATTATATATTATATATTATATATTATATACTATATTATATTTCATATATTATATATTATATATTATATATTGCATATTATATATATATATATATTATGTTATATATATTTTATATATAGTATATATTATATTATATTATATATATATTATATTATATATTTTATATATTATATTATATGTATATATATTATATTATATATATATTATATTATATATTGTATATTATATTATATATATCATATTATATATATATATATATATCATATATTAGATATATATATATCATATATATTATATTCTATATTATATATATATATTATATACATTATATGATATTGTATCAGCTATATTATATATATATTACATTATACAGTATATCATATATCATATATTATATATTATGTATTACATATTATATATTATACATTCTATATATTATATATTATGTCTTATGTATTATGTATGATATATTATAGATTATATATATTATATATTATATACTATGTATTATAATAAATATATTTTGTATTATGTATGATATATTATATATTATATATTATATTTTTTATTATATATTGTATATTATTCATATTATATATTATATATTATATATTATGTATTATGTATTATGTATTAATTATTTATATTATATATTATATATTATATATAATATATTATATATATTATATATTATCTATATATTATATATTAGATATTATATATTATATATTATATATTATATTTATTATATACAATATATATCATATATTATGTATATTATACGGGAGAACGTGTTTGGTCGCCCCACTGCTTTTGCTGATTAGAACGCGCTCAGTGTGTATACAGTTGAATACGAACGTTATTAGGGGGTTTGTGAAACGTGCATAACTTCTGTGACACGTGCACAACTTCTGCGAAACGTGCACAACGCGTGCACAACATCTCTGACACGTGCACAACATCTCTGAAACGTGCACAACATCTCTGAAACGTGCATATAGAATACTTGAAAACACTGGGTGGGGGCGGTGAAACACGTTATACCCATATTATCTTATATATATATATTATAGTGTATATATATGTATATATCATGAATATGGAACCAACCTTAAATATACTTATCGAATGGGGATTAAGCTTGATATTGGCTCGTAAAAGGGGATCGGTGCTCCCAACCTAGGGCCATCAAATGCTGGAGAAAAAGATTGGGACTGAATGCGGGCTCAAATGTTCCAAACCCAGGAGTGCAATGGGTCAATTCAAGAAAAATGGTGGCTTGTTCCCATTCCAAGGTAGGCCTGTTTCGGACCTCTCTCCCTGTGAACACTCTCACAAGAATGGAATGTGCCAAAACCAGAAACGGCGGTTTATCTTCAATGATGATCTATGGAAACATCATCTACGCTCCGTGTATCCAATCCTTTAGAAAGCACAGCAGTCTGGCTTCCCATGATGATATCATGAAAAACTTGGAGGTGTGTTGCAACAGTTCTAAATGGGAGAAGGGTAATCCCATCCAAATCTCCTACTGAAGCAGGTGTTCTGGGGGGTGTTCTGTTCATTGGGTGAAGAGATGACTGAGGCGACTTATTGTACAAACCACTGGAAGAAGTCAACCACTTCACCACCGGAAGCGTCAGCAGAAGTAAGGAGCCATTCATGTACAAAAAGGCCAAGTCCCATATGTCTGTACATGAATTTAGCGTGAGCCCTTCATTTCCCCCCAACACAACAATACAAAAAATGGTGTTTCAACAAATAGGGATGTCTTGAATCTACACTCCAAGAGTATCTAAAATCAGAAAATATAAAACATGATAAAACATGATAATATACCTACTGCATCTCTTTTTGTTGTAGACTTGAAATTCATAGTCATAGTAGTCATAGTTATGGCAAAAAGAATACCTCAACCTCCTTCTGGGATGATCCGGGTGGCATTGGGATACCGAGACAGTTTTTGTGGAGGGCCATCAATTCCGAATCCAATGGGAATTCTTATCAGTCACATAAAAATCCATCCAGGAATTCTATTTTGATTTTTTAACTTCATGTATGGCACAACTATTATTGATGATACATATATATATATTGATACATCTTGGCACATTTTTTCGTCATAGATCGTCATAGATGGTCATATATCCCAGCTTCAGGGACCATCATTGGGAGGTCTCCAAGACCTCCCAGCCATGGAACTTTCCAGTGAGCAGCAGCTGCTGGCCCATATCCTGCATCAACTCGCTATCCTTATCCGCCTCGCAGGAAAAAAAAAAACGCCCCAAACTGGCCCAATCTCAAGACTTCAACAGAGAAATGATGTAGAAATGATCAACAGTACCCAGTTTTTCCTAGAAATTGGCGGCTTGCAAACCCCCAAGTTCCAAAGATGTCGTAAAAAAACTGGGAAGATCCCAACTCAGAAACCCGTGCAGTGCCTGTCGGTACATCTTGCCCTTCAGCATAGCTTTGGCTTTGGTCAACTCCTCCTGGAGCAGCAGCACTGTCCCGGTCCCGTTAAATTGGGTATGGATCGGATTTCAAAGCCACTAAAATGGCTAAAATGGACCACGAATATTGGATGATAGTGGTCACTTGTTGATATTCACCATATTTCACCATTCATTTTTCTGTACCAAGTCTGGACCCAAACCCAAATATCCACCCGGACACTTTGGTATCCATTTGGGCCCGTCCATTTCACCACTAATTTGAAAGGGATGACCAACCTCCAATGTCAATCCGCAGACCTATCTGATGGTTAGATCCATATGAAGCCGCCAGGGCATCCCGATGGCCACGAATTTGATCCGTCCCCACATGCAGTCCATGTAGGGATTCATGGATCAATTGCTAATTGATTATCTATAGAAAATGGATTATCAACATATAATTAAACAATTTTCATAATTTGATATCAATTCATGGATTTTTATGTCATAGTTCTATAATCCGGACTCAACCATTGACATCACTCGGGTCCCCATTGTGGTCAAGTCCCATGATGGAAAAATCCGCATCCGCATGTTTGATGCGGGTCACTCTGCGAACAAATCCCCATGTTTGGTCAAATCCCACGTGCGGTGGTGCGGTGGTGCACCCCCCAGTGATAAATGGGTTATAATCATTTATAACCATAGTGATTAAAACCAACTAGTGAAATATAACCCACATATAATCAGTTTTAATTTGTTGGTGATTAACTAGTTCGATATATCACCAACAAAAACCTAATCGTGAAATTGGACTTAGTGACTAGCACCAACCAATTGCGATGAATCGCTCACAAAGGGGCATCACCCTGGCTGCAGGATTTTGTCCATCTGCAAAGTGGTGAATACCCTCTGGTAAACATACAAAAAGCTATTGAACATGGTCATAGAAATGGTGGATTTTCCCATTAATAGCATGGTGGTTTTCCATTAACAATTGTGATTTATAGTGGATTTTCCCATTAAAAATGGTGATTTTCCATTAACAATTGTGATTTATAGTGGATGTTTCCCATTAAAAATTGTGATTTTCCATTAACAATTGTGATTTATAGTGGATTTTCCCATTAAAAATGGTGATTTTCCCATTAAAAATGGTGATTTTCCCATTAAAAATTGTGATTTTCCATAGTTTTGTAAACGTTTACCAGGCCGGGTATCCTCAACCAACCCATAACCACCCTGCCCCGGCCCCTGGCTGCACCTTGCTGACACTGGAGGTGCTCTTCAATGCTCCAGCCATTGCCATGGCCATGTCACCAGCCTTCAAAAACGGAAGGATGAAATGGTGAAATGATGAGCAAATTTAGTGGTTATAATAGTGGTTATAATAGTGGTAATAGTGGGTTAGTATGGTTATAATAGTGGTAATAGTGGTTTTTCAGTGGATGATCATGATACCAACATATACCAACTATCTATGTTGAATATGTGATAATATGTGTATATCATTAATCTTGGAATGATAAGGTGTATTGCTCGGAAGTCTCCAAGAAAGGCGGATAGACCCGACAAGTTAAACCTTGCACCTTCTCAGGCTGACCCACGCCATAGATGCCGAAGAGACCGGAGTCTGAGTACCTGGCCAGATGTCCAGTCGGAACATCAAGAAATTGAAGAACTGTAGCCCTCTTGAGGGTAAAACCCTTGGCCACAACCAGCTTTGATATGGTGTTTTATCAAATGTTCATTATGGTTCATCATGTTATATAATAATTTAATATGTATGTTTCTATCATGTGTTTATCATGTTTTATCATGCTTTTATCATGGTTTATCATGTTTTATCATGTGCCTTATTTCATGAATCCTTGAGTTCCTTTAGTTAAGAGCCCCCATTCCCCCATTGGCTCGGGAGTGGCTCCTGGCTGTCAATCTTTGAAATCCTGCAGCGTTTCACTGCTTCCATGGGCTGATGTCCCCATCATGTTCTCCAAAAATTTTGGGATACTGTACCCATTCCAATGATTTAAGACCTCACTTTCCCCTTTCCAATTCCCAGTCCAACAGGTTAAAGCATGGTGTTCACCGTTCGAATCAGGAAATTGCCGTACATCGGGATAAGTCCACATCAATCCCCCGACTGCGCACGAAGTGTTGAAAGCCATGCACGACTCAACGAAGGGATTCTGCTTGACCACCTGGCAGCAAAGCAATTGATCCGCCGAAGAAGACAGCCACAACAGGTTTGGTGGTGATTAGGGTCGATAAACCAACAAAATGATAGGTTTGGGCTTGGGGATGTACAACAAGAAATAAACAGGGAATATACATATTACTGTAATATATACCCTCCGGCAATCAAACGTGATCGAAAATCCACCCTTTGCAATAGGTATTGAAATCATAATTATATTAATTATTCATTAGTATATCATGCTTATATTTGATATTATTATGCTTATAATTGACCATTGATTTGACATTAATTAATTATGGTATATTATCTATAAATGGTCCATTCGACATAGCTATGTTAGCGGTGGGGATCCCAGCAGTCCCACTGAGTTGGCGCTGTCTGTGGGGCAACGGTTGGTGAGGTCGTTTTTTCAGGCAGAAAAAACTGCAAAACACTGGGAAATCAGTGGAAAATCACTGGAAAATCAGTAGATTTACTGATTTTTTGCTCGGACGGAGACAAATCAGTGGAAACAGGCAAATTTTTCAACAGAAACGATTGATTTCAGGATTTAGCTACAAGTCTGGCGGTCATTCTGTTCAAAACAAAACTGAAAAAAATCGCGACTTTTGTTCCGTTAAAGTCTGACAAGACGATACTCTGCGGAAAATTTGACATGAAAACCCAGCAAATCCGCTTCGCTCATCATCCCATACCAGGCATTGCAACAGGACAACTCCGCAAATGAGTGACCAAATCACGGTTTTCGTCTTGACTTGAGGATGGATTTGTTTCAGGCAAAAAAGATCACCAACCGGAGACTCAAACAGTATAAATCAAATGAACTCACCATAAAAAAAATCCAGTTAAATCATTGTTAAATCATCATTTGATCATCCATTCATCAAATAATCCCAATAAATAATCCCAAACAATAAACAAGCATCCATTAAATTATCATAAATAATCCCAATCGTCAAAGTATCATCCCATTGTTCTCCCCTATCATCCTTCATCCCACCTTGGTGGACAGCCGAGAGGTCACCCCAGAGCCGATGCCGGTGTAGGCAGCCGTGCCACCGCCCAAGATCTCCTTTCAATGATTGGGTATTTGCTATATTTATCCATACAAGGTGCTGCCCCCCAGTTATAAGTTGGTTTATAATCCCATTAACTATAGATATATCACCTATAAACCATAGTTATTGGAGTTATAAACCAACTTAGCTATCTAGGGGGCACCACCTTGTAGCTGGCTGGTGGTTGACCTACCCCTCTGAAAAATATGAAAGTCAGTTGTGATGATGATTTCCAATATATGGAAAAATAAAAAATGTTCCAAACCACCAATCAGATAGCCATATGGGTTTGTCAATTTAGGGGAAAAGCCGAAAGACGATCCATTGGTTCAGCACCCGGACACACCTTGGCCATGCCCAATCATTTGCAGTACTCATGGTAAAAACTATGGCTTCCTGTAGATGTTCCCTTAGACCAAGCGATTGAGTTGGAGAAAAAACTGTTTCTAGCTGGATATTGAATTCCTCAGCCAGTTCCTAGAGATGTGCGAAAATAAGGTACTGTACTCCAAAATCCAATTGTTTCTATTACATAAGACCACGCCTTCCCATATGCTCCCTGCAAAAATGACCATATTTTTGGATATCGACAATTGTCAGAAAATTCCATATACCATAGACCATAATGTTGGTTACATAGTTGTATCCATGTCTCTGGCATTCATTATCCCCATATCCCATTGTATCCCAAAATTCCCACAATTTTTCCCTCCCGATGATCTCCCCAGCATGATACCAGCACGCAATTCTGGTTGAAATTCTGGTTCTCTTCCCATCTCTTTTCTGGTATCACCCACCATTTAAGCCATTTGGGAAGAATGGACCATTGGAATCTGGGTAAATTATAATATTTCACTAACCTGAATTAAGGCCATTTGGGGATGATTTCCCTTACTAACCATGATTCCAGTGAGGTCGCAGTGAGGTCGTTATAATTTACCCATACCCATGTCAGATGAAATCCCGACATTTTTTCTGGGTGAAAAAAAAGTGATTTTTTTCACCAAAAATTTTCACACCTGGATCAGGGCCACGGGAGCCAGTTCCGCTTGCCCGAAGGCGGTGGATTCCAATCTGGCAAAACCGGCCAGACCCACGATTTGGATGGCGATATGTCATGGGGATGTTTGATTGGGAGATATCACGAACAATGTTCACGAAGTTGGTTTCTAAGCTTTACTCGGAAAGAGCGAAGTAGTTTATGGAGGTGATGAACCAAATGAGGGGCTATGCCATCACCTTGTAGGGCACCAAGGTTACCAGCAGTTCATCATCAAACCCTGGAGAAATCCATGGAGTCTTTCACAATCTGGGTATGGGTGATTTCACCCCACCCTTCTGTTGATGATTTACCCTACAACTGGTAGGCTTGAAAGATGGCCGGCAGTTCCACCAACACATAAATTTAAGAAAAAACAACAAAGTCGACAAAACACCTCCTATTAAACATATTAAACATGCCCTCTTAAAATCCATAAGAATTCAGAAAAATGATCACATCTTCATCATATCATCATATCTTCAGCAATCTCCAGGGGGACCACCTCCCATCCATTCGGCGCACCCCAGGGCAAGGTGGCAGTAGGGAGAGGTTCCCTCCTGGCGCATGTCGCCTCCAGTGTAGCTGGCCTCATTTCGCTGATGCAACGCGAAGTAAAAGCCAGCGATATGGCAACTTCCAAAACGAGAGGCTGTTGCTTAGTTTTTTTTTAAAAAAATGCAAAAAGGCAATCCTACTTTTTTTGTGGTCAACCAAAGCCTTATTCTAGATCTCTTTTTTGGGGCGTCAATTAAAAACATGTGTAGCTGATTATATGAAATCCGGAAATCCATATAAATCCTACCATTGTTGAATTGCTCGATATGACAAAAGGATCCAGGATTTATGAGCTGATCCTAAGCCCCAATCGGCCCAATCGGCTTATGGGTCATGTAATGTTGGTAGGCCAGCTATGAAGAATGGACTTCCAGGATCATTCCGTCACCCTCCATCGCACCTTCACTTCTTCTCGCTTCTTCAGAGGGATGGCATTGTAGTCTGCGAAGGATCCTTGGACAGTTCCAACATCCCAAAAACATCGCCCTCAGTTGATGAAAAGCACATTCACCGATTGATTCAACTAAGCTAATTTTTATGATTACTAAGCGGTTTCAACATCTTCCAACATGCGCCAAGGGGCACTTAATAGTGGATGAAAACAAGTTCTCAAAAAGTTCCAACCCCACCCCAACCTCGTTGGCCCCCCGGTTGTAGTTTGATTTGTAAATCCTATTACCTATAGTCGTAACATGTTATAACTACTATAAACCCTGATTAATCTAGTGAACTGAGCCAACTTAACAAAGTTGTTCCCCACCTTCACCCCATCCTCCCCAAACCAAGCCCAGCCACGCATGACCCACTTGGTCAGCTCGGCGTGCGCCACGTTCACGCCCACGAAGACCATCCGCTCCGGCGCAAAGTGATCCAACAAATAACCGCGCACCGTCTCTGGGGTGAAATACGCCATCGACCTCCATGGAAACCGTTCCGCAAACCGAAGTCGGGTCCGACTGGGATGATGGGGTCGATGGGATGGTTTTTTGTGAAGCCAACAATAGCAGTTCACTGTCACTACTGGTTTTATACATATATATATATACAATTATATATATATATATATTATGTATGATTGGACTATGTGTGGTTGTAGATCGAAAATCTTGTAACCTCGGTGAAGATCCTAAGAATGAACAGAGTGTTCCTTGGCTTGCGAAGTTCATGAAAGCAATGTTGGGTTTATTGGTGCTGACCATAACTCCACGACCCATCTATGATTATAATGGCTTATAAACCCTTCCACAACGCATATGTATATATATATATATGTATACATGTATACATGTAGTCCAGCATTTTTCCTGGCATGTGCCAGGCATGTTGAAAATGTAGAAATGAGCAAGTTTAACTGCAATGTCATCGGTTTCAGGGTTTCGTGAGAATATGTATGAGGGTTTCAGACTCTCTTGCTGTACTTTACAAGGATTGAAAGGAAAATGAAATTAAATATGTTCTGTTGCATCTTGTTCCATCTTTCTCTGACTCTATAACATATTGCTTGTTGTACTGTGGAACATCCATATGTATCGAAGCTATGGTTTGGCGGTTTCCCTATATTTTGAATTGTAGATGTCACAGCAGAACTTGAGAAGACACACAGTAGTATTGTCGGAGGGGTGTGCTAGGAGGAGTCAGAATCGCCTGTATAAATACTGAGAGGAGTCAGCCAAAATCCAATGTGTCCCAAAAGAATCAGGAATCATGAACTTTTAGACTCTGCTGCGAAGAGAAGTGGACCTATGTATACTCTGTAGTCCCAAGTACTGAGATAGCCGACTTGCCTTTCTTCGGATCAAACAAAACTCACCACATTCCTCTCAACTTCGTCCACGAATCCTGGCCAACCAGGCCTCTCGCTCATGAGAGGGCTTCTGCCCAAGGTGTTATTGCAGTAAGCTGCCTGGCAGCCAAGGTCACACTTGTGAGGAGTTTAGCTAGTTTTGATCTATGGTGATTTATAAATCCTTGCTTAGATCATCATTAATCACCACTGACAAACGGTTCTTCCCAATAATTACCATTTAGGTCCCCATGGAACCATCATATTATTCCCTAGAAATCCTTCCAACAGCTTCTCGAAAACTGTCCCGATCGCCACATGGCTAAATGCAGTTCTGTAGCCCTGATGGTATGATAGTCTCGCCGACCAGCCGGTGAATCAGGACTCCAACATGGATGAGGATGAGGATGAGGATGAGGATGAGGATGAGGATGAGGATGAGGATGAGGATGATGAGGATGATGATGATGATGATGATGATGATCCCCTACATTCTACATACCAGACAGTATGTACCATCACATATACAAACCAGTACTAATCAACCAACAGGGGTTTTGAACCTTACTCAGGTGGTGTTGAAATTTCACCTGGGCCTGGGACCGATGGACCGATCATGAAGCCCAACCAAAACGTGTTTTGACTCCACTACCACCCCAAAGAGCGCAAGAGCGCAGAAAGCCAGATGCACCTTGTGCAGAAGTTCACTCACCATGGTGTCAGGGTTCTTGAGAATCCCCTGCAGCAGGATTGAATGGGAAATTCAGGATCCTCAAATGGAGCTACTGTACCATATAAGACCATATTTTGTGGGGATATTCTCTTATATAAGCCTTATATATGCTGAAGACATCCAAAAGCGGCGAGTCGGTCGCGCGCCTCCTTGTCGGTCTTCACGTCGCCATGTGCAGACTTCACTTCCCAAGGCCTCAAGGACGGCGAGAGTACCAGAATGCTAATCTTAGTATGGAAAAATGTGTAGAACATGCACTTAACTAGGAAAAATGGTGATATATTTGGGTATACAATGGTGGTGGTTCCAATCCTGTTTGGTTTAGTTCAGTAGGTTCACTGTTGGGTCTATGATGGCACCACCTTGCAGTTCAGCTGGGGCCAAGGTCAGACATGGGGTCATCATAAAACATCCAACCCTCCCTAGATGGTAGATGGGTCCTAAAATGGGCATATCCAAAAAATGATGCAGTTATGAAAGATGTTTGGACCAGAATAGGATTCCCTGCCAGAATTTCCTCCTTCAGAGTTTCTCCCAACACCAAGCGTACAAGTGGGGTTTTATTCCGTGTATATTTTCAGAGGTGAAACATGGTAAAGAAAGCAATTTCCCCTTCTGGATGTCACGTGCCTATGATATACCCTCTGGTAATTTAACATAGCTATTGAAAATGGCCATTTATAGTGAGTTTTCCCATTGAAAAATGGTGTTTTTCCATAGTTATGTCAGTTTACCAGCCGGAAAATCCACCATTCGATGGATATTTTTTTGCAGCGAAAGCTCCATGGTTTTACGGCCACGGGGGATGTCCTTCCCAGTGTGGGCCATGTTTCATGGCGCGTAGCATGGAAATGGATACAGTCATCTACAGTTATGGCCCGAAATACCAGTTATAAGTACTAACAAAAGCCCATTTGTAGAATGTTTTTTATCCCATAGAAATAACCAGTTATAACTAATAGATACTAATAGCCATGGCCATAACTGTAGATGGATGTTTTAGTGGTTTCCAAAAGGTCTCCAACTTGGAGATGTGAAAAAATCGAGCCATCGCCCGGCGTGTCTTCAGCGGTAAAACGCTTTCTGAAAGTTCTCGGAAATGATAAAAAGACACATATGTTCTCTGACTTCAGAGGTAGAGGCTCTAGAGGGATTCATAATATGTTGGAAATCAGATAGAAATATATAGAAATCATATTCCCATATATTCTCTACTATATTTATATCTATTTTATATCTATTTCACATGATGCTATATCCCGTCTATCTGTGGAAAGATCCACTGGGGCCAGGACAGAAAGCGAGGGAAGAGCACGTTGCCCACCATCAACGGCACCACATAGGGCAGCAGCTCTCTTTGCACATCCACCTGGCTGGACGGCGTCCCGAAAGATCAGTTAAGAGAAAATTCGATCAATGTCAGATTCGCTGGAAATTCTTATTTCAATGGATTGGTTTAAGGGAAAATCTACAGGAAACCATGGTTTTTACCATCAAATATAGTGGTTTCCTGTAAATTTTCCCATCATCCAATTCTATGATTATTTGATTGCTAAATTTCTACCTATTTCCTTGAGGTTGTTGGATTTGGGACATATCGAGACACGTCTGCTTTTAAAATATGAGTTGATTTGTCCCAAATCCAACAACATTGCTAAAGATATACCCTCTGGTAATTTAACATAGCCATGGAAAATGGCCCATTTATAGATGGTTTACCTATTAAAAATGGTGATTTTCCATGGCTATGTTAAATAACCAGATGGTATTGTTAACGTTGTGTCCCAAATACGAACAAATCCAACAATATTTGGGACACGTCATCCAGATCCCGAGATCTAAAAACCGCATCCACAGCCGTCACCAAACAGGTCCATTAAACACAAAAACGCGCATCCACGTATACATACATATATATATATATATACATACACATATTCACATGTGTATATGTATGTACAATATGTTATACAATATTATACAATTACATATATATATACACAGTATATATATACACACACATATATGTATATAATATAATATCTCTATCCGTCCTCCCATGGGAAAATCATGGAAAATCCCCCCACCTGATACAGGATCTCTTCGCGCCCCGCTTTGGCTGAGGCGCTTTGATCGGCGCCCATCTGTTCCAAGGTCTTCACCGTCCTGACGCGGTGGCAACGGAGCAACGGGGGGGTAGCTTTCAATGGATAACCATGGAAAACCATGGAAAATCTATGGAAAACCATGGAAAATCTATGGAAAACCCATGGAAAACCCCAGATTTCACGGGAAAATCTATGGTTTACACTCTGGTAAACTAACATCACTAGATAGCGCTCTAAGTTGCCTTAGAAAACTTGGAAAAGTGGCGAAAGAACGATGGTTTATGGTAGATATCACTATAACTATAGTTCATGGGGTGATTTGAAAACCAAGAGTTATCCATCTACCCTCTGGTAATGACTAACATATAGCTATTGAAGCCATGGCACATACACATAGTTGATTTACCGAACTTAAAGATGGTGAGTTTCCAGTTCGCTATGTTAGTTTACCAGAGGGTACACGGCAAGTTGGAAATGAAGGACATGATGTTTGGGAGAATTCAGAACAAATCAATAATCAACCATGAAGACATCCAAGTCACTGGTGAACACTGTCACCATTATAAAGCTTGAGATGTAAGGACTTGCTTCAGGACAACTGTGGCCCAAATCCTCTACTTGATCAATCACGTTCGCACGAATGTGTTGCTTGAACAGGCAGGGGCAACCGTTGCATTGACAGCCGAGCCGAAACTCTCAAGTGTTCTTTCAAGGTAGGGTTTTAAACATCTTAAAACTAATGCTAAAAACGTCTTCAAAGTGACTTCTCTCCCGCAATCCCCCGCAACGCCTCAAGTGGCTGAGATGCGCGGTGGAACGGAAGCCCATCAAGGCCGTCATGTGGGCCACACCCAAGTTGGCTGAGCCTTCGAACCGCGCGCCCGCATGCACATAGAGGCCTCAGCAGGGGTGCTCCAAACAGCCCAGGTTTGGCGGGTACATTGGGTAAAGAAAGAGATGAAACTCTACATTTACACCCCAAAAAGTGGCGATCATTTGAAATCGGAGCAACGGAGCAACCCTATTGGTTGGAAAACCCAGATCTTTTCGAAATATCCCATCCATTGCCACCCCAAGTGACTGTCACCCAAGCAGTGCAGTAGGCAACCCCACCCAGACGTGCAGTGAGGCCCTGCTTGTCTACTGAGGCAATCTTAATGCCTGATCACCAAGGAATGGCTGCCATAAACCTACCATGACTGGGGATGCAAACACTACCACCCATACAAGTGGTTACTTTAGGGGTGGTTTATTATTGGGTCTACCACATTATAACACATTATAACCTGGTTGGTGGTGCAACAACCATCTTGAAAAATATGAGTTCGTCAATGGGAAGGATTATGCCATATATGACATGGAAAATAAAAGTCATGTTTGAAACCACCCCCAAGTGCACAGTACTGAGCAGTAGCTGAGTCGATTTTGGGCACAGTACTGACCGGCAACCCCGGGGGGGTTGACCATGAAGTGCAGGGTTTTCCACTAGATTGAGGATGAATCAATTTAAGGGACAGTCGAACAAAAAAATCGAGAAGATCTATGGATTTTTCCCTGTGAATAGATACTGGAAAAAAAAATCATTGACACATATTCAATCATATTCACACCCCTCTGAAGTTTACTTGGAATCTAACTAGTAAAAATGATACCCTCTGGTAATTTAACATAACTATGGAAAATCACCATTTATCATAGGTAAATCCACTATTTCTATGGCCATTTTCAATAGCTCTTCCGACATAACCAGAGGGTAGCTTTCTGCTGGGTCCATTGCTAATTTTTTCTGGGACCTCGGGCCGTTCTCCAGCTTGGAGAATTCGTACTTGGGTGCCACCAGGGCCGGTGCAGGAGGGTCCAACAAGATGCTCCGGTCCAAGGTGGTACCTGCCGCAGGCAGAGTCCGGAGATATGGTTCTGCGTCACACTGGGGATATGAATCTGCAGCAAATTGGGATATGTTTTTCATGGGAAACTATGATCGATTTTTTTGTGTCTTTTCTTTTTCTTTTGAAGCCTTACCCTCTGGTAATTTAACATAGCTATTGAAAATGACCATTTATAGTGGATTTTCCCATTAAAAATGGTGATTTTCCGTAGCTATGTTAAATTACCAGAGGGTATGTCAAGCAAATGGTGGCGGTTTCCATTCCACAGGAGCAACAACCGCGGAGCTTTGTTTGGCCCCATGGGATGATATGATGAGCTCATTGAGTTGGGGATCATCCCCAGGATGGGATTCACCAATGGTGGTGGATCAGCTGGTAAATAAAGTCCAGGGGCAGAGATGAAACAATGGTTGTAGATGACTCCTGCAACAACAGGAATCAGTGGCGTTTTGCTCGCTGATCGCTGAGACATCTGCATGGACCCGCCTCATTACGGCACAAGTTCTGAACCCGTTTTGGGGTTGCGCCCCTGCCAGGCCGCCTGCACAAAGTGAACACACACCGAATTCTTAGGTTGGCAAGACCCAGTTGCCATCTGGATGAGGCGTCGTCTTTACGAGCTGTCCGCTCCTCTGGAGCAGCACATGCTTGACAAGCACGGATCGTGGAGGTTCGACTCCTCCCTGGTTCGTTGTTTGCTTTGATTTGCCATGGGTTCACACAACGTGCGTTCACTGCCTTCCAGAGGCGTTCATGTGTGTATCACAGCGGTGCTGCGTCTTCCAGGTTATGGAAAGCTCAAGTAGAAAATAAGTTCGTTGATTTTGTGGCTCCCCAAGCTGCGGAAAAAACATGGAAAGACACCTAGTATGAAATACACTCAAGTAGAAAAACCTGTGTCCGCGTTTCGCCTATCATGGTTACCCTGATGCCCCTGGTGGGTGCCTAAGGTTAGAACTCCACGACTTTGTTGGTTCCACCTCTACACCGTGGCCGGGTCGTCGCACCTTGATAAGGATTTGGCACGGACCTCAGGGGCTTGGTCAACACATCACCAAGTGCCGCTGGGGGGACACGGGGACACCATGATGGCCCCTTCCATCCCTTGGAAATCGGCCATATTAATAGCAACATATAGCAACCTTGTGCACCATGAAAAACAGTCTTCCAATTCTTTTTCCGGTAGATGTTGCGGAATTCGAAGGCTCCCATGGCCGGGATGAATTTTGTTTATAGCTATCTTCCCATTCTTCAAGCGCGAAATGCGCATCAAGCGGCTCTTTGAACTCATAGAAGTTATAGTCCGGGAGCTCCATCATGACCTGAAAATGGGGTCAATCACCCCCCAGTGGTTGGCCATTCTCACAGGAAAAATGATGGTTTTCTAATGGATTTTAATATTTTAATGGGGATTTTAATGGTGATTTTACGGATGTTAATGGGATTTTCAATCATAGCCATTGGAAATGTGGGTTTTTTTTATTTTGTTTGGACCAACCCATATGCATGGAAGACCCTCGCCAGTGATTCGTGATTCGTGATGTATCCTGGAGAAATAGACCAGCAGGGATTTTCAACAGCGATGGTTTTGGAGGCCGTGTTGATATTTTTTTGGGTTTCCATAGTTCATTTCATGGAGAAAAAAAAAGGCTTCGGGGTTCAGGTTTAGAGTCTTCAAATCCTATGATTTTCGCTTCGGAGATGTTTGCTTCGGAAGATAGTTTGCAAATCCAACCGTGTTTCACTGGAAGAAGCGGACCCCAAAACAGAGAAGTTTCCAGTGGGAAATTCATCTTCAAACCTAACTGATCCGTGGTTTCAAAAAAAAAAAGCCTGGATCTGATATATTTACCGGGCACATTTAATTAGCTATGGCTTTTCGTTGCTTCGAATTTGGTTTTCACTGGTGTCACAGTGTCGTTCCTTTCTGTGGTTGCTGTGGATCCAAAATGGAGGTTTCCAATCCATGGGGGTACCCCTGTTCATCATCCATTTTTTGAATTGCTTTAGCACATATACTGATATATGTCCCCATCATTCTAGTATTCCCCACTTATGCTAAAAAGACTCAACTGCTTATCAAAGTCATTTGGGCTATACCCAACAATAAATCTCTATTGGTGATGGTTTATTATTGTTGAGATTACTCACATTATAAACTATCTATTAAAGTGCCCATCCAAGGTTTACCCATTGAATCCCAAAACTTCTTCCAGGGCCTTCTCCACATCTTCTTTCACGAACTTCACCTGGCCCAGGTTTTCCAAGGGCGCCATGATACTGCGATTAAAAAGACCAGGTTTCAAACAGGCAATTCTTGAAATCTTGGTCTCAACATTCACTTGCCCTCAACTTGGCTTCTCCCACCATGTTTTTAAGTTGATTTCTGTTGAAGCTGGAACCAGTAAAAATTTCAACATCAATCAATTCAATCAATCTGTACTCCCTGGTAATTTAACATAGCTATTAAAAATGATGATTTTACGATGATTTTCCCATTGAAACTGGAACGCCGCCGACAGCTCCACCGGTCTCCCACAGTTTTTTCCGCTGGAAAGGCCCCGCAGCTTTGGCGGGTGCATCACCTGAGGCGGGGACCGATTGGAGTGCGGCACGGGATGCCTTGAAAATGATCGTCTCATATGATCTGCATAAAAAAATATTCATCACTGAAGTAAAATTGGTAAATCATCATAAATCATCGAACTGAATATGGGTATAAATATGGGTATAAATAACCAGAGGGTATCATCTTAATCATCTTATGATCATCTTGTGATCATCTTATGATCATCATGATTCCCAGGATGATCCCATGTTCTCTTCTCACCCAAACTTCATCCATCCCAGTCCACACAGCCCAATCTCAACTGCCACTGAAGTACTCAGGAAAGGCAACCGCATCATCCTCGGTGTCTTCCTTTTCTTCCAAGTCACCTGAGATGTCAACGTGAATTTCAAGGCCCCTAAGACGTTGGAAAAACAACAAGTTGAACATAAAGAGCTTGGAACTTGGAACTTGCGATTTCGATGTTTTGACTGTCATGGCCCAGTTCGGTGTGCATTTTGAATTTCAGGTGTGTGCCCTGCAGATGCATAAAGTTGATCGATAAAACGAATCCATCTATTCTGGCTCGACGGATCAGCTGATCCGGGCATGATCCATTTGAGTCTGCCAAAAAAAGAGCATGCTTTTGACAGAAATATGGGACTGGCTCAAAATCATATACCCGCCAAAAGTGGATTGCTTGATCGTTTTGATACCTAAAAATGACCAGTTTTGTGGACCCACTGGTACTCTATGTTTGAGTTGTCATACCTATAGTATAGACCACTCTTGCCATCCAGGTAATCTGATGGTCTCAACAGATCACTTCGCCAATTTCACATAGCCATGGAAACCATGGCCCTTTTCTAGATGATCTGCCCATCGAAGTGGTGATGGTCCGTTAAATTACCGGAGGCGAAGTTTCAGGCCCACAACATTGCTTGGCCAAGTGGCTTTGTCTGAATTTTTGGGGTGCCGCAAAATCTTCCGCTTGATCAGAACGTTCTTCATCCAAATTGCCATATACTGGTCATCCCCCATTTTTGGACAAACCCATATATATATATATATATACACAGTATGTATATATATATATATATGTACAGTATGTATATATATATATATATGCAGTATGTATATATATATATGTGTATGTATATACTTATATACTTATATACATACATATCCCATTGCTTAATGGTTGCATTTCCCGATGGTTCAATCCGCCGTCGTCCGAGTGACCACTGAGATCTGCTGCCAACACAGGGCTGACGCAGGAAGGACACAGAAAGACCAAGCTGAACCTCGGTCGGGTCAGGAAGGATCTTAAGGGGGCCCGCTTGAACAATGTGACACCAAAATGGGATTAAAGCGAACAAGACAGTTGGCCTTGATGTGATGTATATTATATAATACATATATACATATACATATACAATATATACATATACATAATATATATATAATTACATATACATACATATACATATGGTTCAGTTGCCTGAAACCCTGGCGATCACAACCTTCTCACTTCGTTTAGATCTTCGTAGCTTGAAGAAATCTACCTTTTTTCTATCCCCCATTTCAACAGGTGAACCCATCATTGCAGCTCCTCCAAAAAAATGGTCGCTACACTTGTTTCAACCATGCCACAAAGCTGGCCTTAGCGATGTTTATAAAATGGATTTCAACCATGTCACAAAAAACCTATGCATTCCTATAATAGGACTATTCTTTGAGGCTAGGCAGATCGACCCCAAAAACAACGGCCAGCACCAGGAAGCATTGCAGCCCAGTCCTTCAGCGACATCCAAAAAATTCCATCGGATCCTGGGCGTTGATGCACAACTGAAGTGGTGAATCTGTATATGTATGCATATATATATATATATATGTCTACATGTTTATACACATATACATATACATATACCTATACATATACATTTACATATACGTATATATATTTATATATATTGACCCTAGTCACAACAACACCAGTAGTGGGGCTCGCACTGTTCGAGTGAAGCAGCGCCTTCAACTTGGGGTTTTGATCCCACCTTTCGCGGCCGGCGGCTGGGTGTTTCTTGGTTTTCATTCCATGACTGCGATCCTATTGATGGCTTATTAAATGTGATTAACCTCAACCGTGCTGTTAGAAGGTGAGAAAAACTGAATCCTACTGTGTTCTGAAAAAAAAATCCTACTGTGAATCATTGTGAATGAGAGCACCTGGATTACATGATATTCATTGATATGTTCATAAATTATTTTAAATTTTCATTGATATTCATGTTCAGTTTCCCAAATGTCCAAATCCTTGAAGTTTCCCATGCATTAAAAGCACTGAACGGTCATGGTGGTGGATTTTCTCCACCGGTGGGGGATTTAAGTCCAGCCGGATCCAGTTGAAAATCAACAACGAGTTGATAACGTTCAATCAGATTTCAGTAATTTTACTGAGTAAAATTTCCTGAGTAAAATTTCCTGAGTTGATAACGTTCAGTTTTTACCACATTTTCTGATCATCGATGATCTGAATCAGAGGAGTCCTCTGAATATTCCAAGCTTTTTCCAGTGCCCAAAGACGCCCACCTGCAGGCCCAACCAAATCCCTCACCTATCGCTGGAGTCGCTATAGTCCCCCGTCCACTCCTTCTGGCCCCAGGGATTCCGCAGCATTACCTCAGTCGTCACCCTGTCACCCTTAGTTTGGGACATGGATAAATCGGATAAGTTATCTGAATATATGATTTCATGGATACATATACAAATACATAGAAGGTTTTTGCATGGATTGCAGTATACCTCCATAGTTTTGTCAAATGGGGTTGGAAGCCCGATTGGCAATTCTAAGTGGATAGGATCCATTTACCGCTGCCGCACTAGGATTGGTTGCTCCTTGTGCCCAGTTTAACCTGTTGCTACCAGAACAGTTTCGGTAAAAGGACCAACTTTCGTTGATGACTGGTCGGATTCCTGCGATGTCATGGGTGACTCCCTCTGACTGGAAGCCACCACTGACTCTGGAAGTTTCTGGAAAACCAACTGTCCGCAGAATGTTGCTAACGAGAGGCTAAACCAGTGATGAAGGGGTGTTGATCGCAACTGAAATTTAACCGGCGCAATCTATCACTTGTGCAAAAGTCGTCCATGGTCCATGGTGACACTTCTCGCCCTTGGATGCGGATGATCCTTGACCTTTAGCAAAAACGTGAGGTGCAAGTGGAAAATTCCCGCATCTAGTTGAAACATGTTGAAACTATCATGATTATTATGTGCGCCATGGTCAAGTTAGATGGTATGTGATGATTTTTTGGGGGCAGGGTCATCCCATACTGATCATACTGGAAATCCATGGCCACCATGGCTACATAAATCCCTAGGAAATGATCATCTTTTTCAAGAACTGGGTAATCTAAACCTACCCAAATTTTGAGCATTGCACATGGCTTGTGAAACTCCACGGTTGAAAAAAACCCAAATATTCCCAAGGCTCCCAGGCAGATGTGGCCCCTGGGTCACACGACCAAACTCACACTGCTTCCATCCTCCAGTTTTTCCTCTCGGGCCTGGCTGATCTGGCGATGAAAATTCAGATGATTGGGCACGTTGAAGGGAGTTTGTTTACCCAGAAACCATGGTTTTTGTTCAATGCGTTTTATCATGAATTAACCCTAAACCCTAAACCCCAATAGCAAAACTTCACGAGCACCAAGAGACCACCAAGAGGCCACAATGAGACCACAATGAGACCACCAACAGACCGGCAGACATCAGGCACCCACCAAAAGGAGAAAAGTGTGGACCACCAGCCACCCAATGGCCCAAGAGCGTAGAGGAGCTTAGTTACTCAGGCGAATATGAGGTTTTTACGATGAAAAAACACACAATGTAATAAGTATGTAATAACATGAATAAGTATGTAATAACATGTAATAACTATATTTCAAGTAGATAAGAAAAAGCAATTATAACGATGGAAAATGTAGCAACTGATTGTCAGAAAGATGAAAAAGGTAAGATATTAAGATGGACAATGATGAGACGCATTTAAACATTTGTATTGATACAGAACGAAAGCAAGAAGCTAAAAATGAAGGGAGAAGCTGTATGAAGGAGACAGGGCGGTAGAAAGAGGATGAGGGACAAAAGAAAAAATGGAGAAAATGTAAGATGGACATCTAACACAGACACTTTTACACACAGCCGCTTTTAAACACAGGCGGTTTTACACACACCACCGAGACAGCACGACACCCCGCGAAAAAGGCCGGCAGCTGGGAACCAGCTAAGGCGCCCGTCCACCTATCGAATTCACAACCCCAAGCTATCACTATTGGGGAAATACGAAAAAACATATCCTGCGAATTTTCCCTTCATCTGATTAAATCTAATTCCAAGATCAGGGCTACAGTCGATGCCGATGCTAAGGCAATGTTCTTTCAAATCAGTGGCAACAACCATTGCTGCACCTCCTGCTGGAGCCAGTCATTACAAGCCCAATTGTTTTCCCGAAAACATCAACTCCTCCATCAATATGTCGGCTGCTCCAAGAATCGGCTATGCCAAGAATCAAAACAGGTCGCTGAGATCAGAAAAGACCTCCAAAACCAGAAGAAGACCCTGCAAATGTATAAAAATGTGGCTTAAAGCTTCAATTTCCCAATGACTTCGATGGCCGTCCATTAGGGGAAATCCAAAAAAAAAATCAAGCCTGCAGCAGCGAGTAGAAGTGACCCTTGTAGAGGCCATTGCGCGTGGCCTTGGCTCAGAAATGTGAAGATGTCGAGTGTCATTTTAAGATGATATGTTGTTTTTGTTTAATCAACCTGATATAGTTATCATAAAAATAGTGTAGTGAAATATCAAACATTATCAAAGCATATATTTCCACTCAGTCATATCCGCCGACCCCGGCAGACGCAAGGGGGAGCGCGCCAGGGAATAAGACATTGTCCCATTTGCCATTCGAAATTGACGGCCGCAATGCCCCTGTGTTTGGACTTTTCCTGTGATAAGACATTGTCCCATTTGCCATTTGAAATTGACGGCCGCAGTGCCCCTGTGTTTGGACTTTTCCTGTGAACAGTGTGGATTTGGTAGCTTTGCCACACCGGGAGGTGCTTTTGGTACTCTTCTTTCAGCAATAGCAGCAGCAGCACCACCACCACCAACACCAGCGCCAGCAGCAGCAGGAGGAGGGAAAAGGTAGCTAAAATCATCCTTTTCTTTGGGTTTCAGAAGTTACATTAGGCATTTTTTGGGCGCAATTTTGATGCCTTACCGCCCCTCGCTGCCATGGTGTTTTCCCATCCGGGAGCTAGCATTAGAACAGAGGGAGCAGCAGGAGCAGCAGCAGCAGGAGGAGGGAAAAGGTAGCTAAAATCATCCTTTTCTATTGGTTTCAGAAGTTACATTAGGCACTTTTTTGGTCGCAGGGTGTGTTTCGGAGGCTTGCAGCACCTGCTCCAGCAGCACCAGCAGCAGGAGCAGCAGTAGCAGCTGTTATGTTCCCATCCGAGGACCAACAGCAGCAGCAGCAAAAGCATCTGCAGCAGCAGGCGCTTTGTTTTTATTATTGTTTTTACCAGAATCCAGAAGAGACGTCAAGCCTCGGGACAGCATGTTTTTGGAGGTCGTTCCGTCCTTCTTCTTTTCTATGGGTTTCAGAAGTTACGTTCGGCATTCGGAGGAAGAGTAGCAGCAACAGGAGCAGCAGGAGGGTTCTATGGTTTTGAGCCTCGGGAGGAAGAGCAGCAGCAACAACAGGAGCAACAGGAGGGTTCTATGTCTCATTGTACAAACAGTGGTATAAAAATTGGTCGAAAACGATAAAACCTTGTCCAAAACTATTGTTTTTCTAGGGTTTCAGAAGGGACGTTAGGCACTTTTTGGGCTCGATTTTGGCGCTGTTCCGTCCTTCAGGGCCACTGTGTTTCCCCGTCCGGGAGGGTGCGTTTTCAGCCTCGGGAGGAAGAGCAGCAGCAGCAACAGGAGCAACAGGAGGGTTCTATGTCTCATTGTACAAACAATGGTATAAAAATTGGTTGAAAACTATGTACAAACAGTGGTATAAAAATTGGTTGAAAACTATAAAAACTTGTCCAAAACTATTGTTTTTCTAGGGTTTCAGAAGGGACGTTAGGCACTTTTTGGGCTCGATTTTGGCGCTGTTCCGTCCTTCAGGGCCACTGTGTTTCCCCGTCCGGGAGGGTGCGTTTTCAGCCTCGGGAGGAAGAGCAGCAGCAGCAACAGGAGCAACAGGAGGGTTGTATGTCTCATTGTACAAACAGTGGTATAAAAATTGGTCGAAAACCATAAAAACTTGTCCAAAACTATTGTTTTTCTAGGGTTTCAGAAGGGACGTTAGGCACTTTTTGGGCTCGATTTTGGCGCTGTTCCGTCCTTCAGGGCCACTGTGTTTCCCCGTCCGGGAGGGTGCGTTTTGAGCCTCGGGAGGAAGAGCAGCGGCACCAACAGGAGCAACAGGAGGGTTGTATGTCTCATTGTACAAACAGTGGTATAAAAATTTTGTTGAACTAGTACAAAACAGTGGTATAAAATTTCGTTGAAAACTATAAAACCTTGTTCCAAAACTATTGTTTTTTCTAGGGTTTCGAAGGACGTTGGCACTTTTGGGTTCGATTTTGGCGGCTGTTCCGTCCTTCAGGGCCACTGTGTTTCCCCGTACCGGATGGTGCGTTTTCAGCCTCGGGAGGAAGAGCAGCAGCAGCAACAGGAGCAACAGGAGGGTTCTATGTTTCATTGTACAAACAGTGGTATAAAAATTGGTTGAAAACTATAAAAAAAAGGAGAGTTCTATGTCTCATTGTACAAACAGTGGTATAAAAATTGGTCGAAAACTATAAAACTATAAAAAACCTTGTCCAAAACTATTGTTTTTCTAGGGTTTCAGAAGGGACGTTAGGCACTTTTTGGGCTCGATTTTGGCGCTGTTCCGTCCTCGATTTTGGCGCTATTCCGTCCTTCAGGGCCACTGTGTTTCCCTGTCCGGGAAGGTGCGTTTTCAGCCTCGGGAGGAAGAGCAGCAGCAGCAACAGGAGCAACAGGAGGGTTCTATGTCTCATTGTACAAACAGTGGTATAAAAATTGGTTGAAAACTATAATAAAACCTTGTCCAACTTGTCCAAAATATTGTTTTTCTAGGGTTTCAGAAGGGACGTTAGGCACTTTTTGGGCTCGATTTTGGCGTGGTTCCGTCCTTCAGGGCCACTGTGTTTCCTTTCCCCGTTCCGGGGATGGTGCTTTTTCAGCATTTCGGGAGGAAGAGCAGCAGCAGCAACAGGAGCAACAGGAGGGTTCTATGTTTCATTGTACAAACAGTGGTATAAAAATTGGTTGAAAACTATAAAAAAAAGGAGAGTTCTATGTCTCATTGTACAAACAGTGGTATAAAAATTGGTCGAAAACTATAAAACTATAAAAAACCTTGTCCAAAACTATTGTTTTTCTAGGGTTTCAGAAGGGACGTTAGGCACTTTTTGGGCTCGATTTTGGCGCTGTTCCGTCCTTCAGGGCCACAGTGTTTCCCCGTCCGGGAGGGTGCGTTTTCAGCCTCGGGAGGAAGAGCAGCAGCAGCAACAGGAGCAACAGGAGGGTTCTATGTCTCATTGTACAAACAATGGTATAAAAATTGGTTGAAAACCATAAAACCTTGTCCAAAACTATTGCTTTTCTAGGGTTTCAGAAGGGGCGTTAGGCACTTTTTGGGCTCGATTTTGGCGCTGTTCCGTCCTTCAGGGCCACTGTGTTTCCCCGTCCGGGAGGGTGCGTTTTCAGCCTCGGGAGGAAGAGCAGCAGCAGCAACAGGAGCAACAGGATGGTTCTATGTCTCATTGTACAAACAGTGGTATAAAAATTTGTTGAAAACCATCAAAAATTGTCCAAAACTATTGTTTTTCTAGGGTTTCAGAAGGGACGTTAGGCACTTTTTGGGTTCGATTTTGGCGCTGTTCCGTCCTTCAGGGCCACTGTGTTTCCCCGTCCGGGAGGGTGCATTTTCAGCCTCGGGAGGAAGAGCAGCAGCAGCAACAGGAGCAACAGGAGGGTTCTATGTCTCATTGTACAAACAGTGGTATAAAAATTGGTTGAAAACTATAAAAACTTGTCCAAAACTATTGTTTTTCTAGGGTTTCAGAAGGGACGTGAGGCACTTTTTGGGCTCGATTTTGGCGCTGTTCCGTCCTTCAGGGCCACTGTGTTTCCCCGTCCGGGAGGGTGCGTTTTCAGCCTCAGGAGGAAGAGCAGCAGCAGCAACAGGAGCAACAGGAGGGTTCTATGTCTCATTGTACAAAAAGTGGTATAAAAATTGGTTGAAAACTATAATAAAACCTTGTCCAAAACTATTGTTTTTCTAGGGTTTCAGAAGGGACGTTAGGCACTTTTTGGGCTCGATTTTGGCGCTGTTCCGTCCTTCAGGGCCACTGTGTTTCCCTGTCCGGCAGGGTGCGTTTTGAGCCTCGGGAGGAAGAGCAGCAGCAGCAACAGGAGCAGCAGGAGGGTTTTTTTTTTTTTATGGGGGGGCGGGAGGGGGAAGGGGGGGGGGGTTGAGGGAAGAGGGGGGGAGTAGAGGGGGGGGGCGGGGGACGGAGGGGAGGGGGGGGGAGAAAGAGAGGGGAGAGGGGACGGAGGGGAGGGGGGGGGATAGCGGAAGGGAGTACGAGGGGAGAAGGGGGGGAGGAGGGGGGAGGGGGGAGAGAGAGGGAGAGGGGAGGGGGAGGGGGAGGAGGAGGGAGGAAGGAGAGGGGGGAGGAGGAGGGGGAAGTGGGGGGAGGGAGGGGGGGGTTTTTTTTTTCTTTTCTATTTCTTCTTTCTGTTTCTTTTTTTTTTTCTTTCTTTTATAGTTTTCATTGTACAAACAGTGGTATAAAAATTGGTTGAAAACTATAATAAAACCTTGTCCAAAACTATTGTTTTTCTAGGGTTTCAGAAGGGACGTTAGGCACTTTTTGGGTTCGATTTTGGCGCTGTTCCGTCCTTCAGGGCCACAGTGTTTCCCCGTCCGGGAGGGTGCGTTTTCAGCCTCGGGAGGAAGAGCAGCAGCAGCAACAGGAGCAACAGGAGGGTTCTATGTCTCATTGTACAAACAATGGTATAAGAATTGGTTGAAAACTATGTACAAACAGTGGTATAAAAATTCGTTGAAAACTATAAAACCTTGTCCAAAACTATTGTTTTTCTAGGGTTTCAGAAGGGACGTTAGGCACTTTTTGGGCTCGATTTTGGCGCTGTTCCGTCCTTCAGGGCCACTGTGTTTCCCCGTCCGGGAGGGTGCGTTTTCAGCCTCGGGAGGAAGAGCGGCAGCAGCAACAGGAGCAACAGGAGGGTTCTATGTCTCATTGTACAAACAGTGGTATAAAAATTGGTTGAAAACTATAAAAAACAGGAGGGTTCTATGCCTCATTGTACAAACAGTGGTATAAAAATTGGTCGAAAACTATAAAACTATAAAACCTTGTCCAAAACTATTGTTTTTCTAGGGTTTCAGAAGGGACGTTAGGCACTTTTTGGGCTCGATTTTGGCGCTGTTCCGTCCTTCAGGGCCACTGTGTTTCCCTGTTCAGCCTCGGGAGGAAGAGCAGCAGCAGCAACAGGAGCAACAGGAGGGTTCTATGTCTCATTGTACAAACAATGGTATAAAAATTGGTTGAAAAGCATCAAAAATTGACCAAAATTGTCCAAAACTATTGTTTTTCTAGGGTTTCAGAAGGGACGTTAGGCACTTTTTGGGCTCGATTTTGGCGCTGTTCCGTCCTTCAGGGCCACTGTGTTTCCCCGTCCGGGAGGGTGCGTTTTCAGCCTCGGAAGAGCAGCAGCAGCAACAGGAGCAACAGGAGGGTTCTATGTTTCATTGTACAAACAGTGGTATAAAAATTGGTCGAAAACTATAAAACCTTGTCTAAAACTATTGTTTTTCTAGGGTTTCAGAAGGGACGTTAGGCACTTTTTGGGCTCGATTTTGGCGCTGTTCCGTCCTTCAGGGCCACTGTGTTTCCCCGTCCGGGAGGGTGCGCTTTCAGCTTCGGGAGGAAGAGCAGCAGCAGCAACAGGAGCAACAGGAGGGTTCTATGTCTCATTGTACAAACAATGGTATAAAAATTGGTTGAAAACTATGTACAAACAGTGGTATAAAAATTCGTTGAAAATTATAGAACCTTGTCCAAAACTATTGTTTTTCTAGGGTTTCAGAAGGGACGTTAGGCACTTTTTGGGTTCGATTTTGGCGTTGTTCCGTCCTTCAGGGCCACTGTGTTTTCCCGTCCGGGAGGGTGCGTTTTCAGCCTCGGGAGGAAGAGCAGCAGCAGCAACAGGAGCAACAGGAGGGTTCTATGTCTCATTGTACAAACAGTGGTATAAAAATTGGTTGAAAACTATAAAAAACAGGAGGGTTCTATGCCTCATTGTACAAACAGTGGTATAAAAATTGGTCGAAAACTATAAAACTATAAAACCTTGTCCAAAACTATTGTTTTTCTAGGGTTTCAGAAGGGACGTTAGGCACTTTTTGGGCTCGATTTTGGGGCTGTTCCGTCCTTCAGGGCCACTGTGTTTCCCCGTCCGGGAGGGTGCGTTTTCAGCCTCGGGAGGAAGAGCAGCAGCAGCAACAGGAGCAACAGGAGGGTTCTATGTCTCATTGTACAAACAGTGGTATAAAAATTGGTCGAAAACTATAATAAAACCTTGTCCAAAACTATTGTTTTTCTAGGGTTTCAGAAGGGACCTTAGGCACTTTTTGGGTTCGATTTTGGCGCTGTTCCGTCCTTCAGGGCCACTGTGTTTCCCCGTCCGGGAGGGTGCGTTTTCAGCCTCGGGAGGAAGAGCAGCAGCAGCAACAGGAGCAACAGGATGGTTCTATGTCTCATTGTACAAACAGTGGTATAAAAATTGGTTGAAAAGCATCAAAAATTGTCCAAAATTGTCCAAAACTATTGTTTTTCTAGGGTTTCAGAAGGGACGTGAGGCACCTTTTGGGTTCGATTTTGGCGCTGTTCCGTCCTTCAGGGCCACTGTGTTTCCCCGTCCGGGAGGGTGCGTTTTCAGCCTCGGGAGGAAGAGCAGCAGCAGCAACAGGAGCAACAGGAGGGTTCTATGTCTCATTGTACAAACAGTGGTATAAAAATTGGTTGCAAACTATAAAAACTTGTCCAAAATATTGTTTTTCTAGGGTTTCAGAAGGGAACGTTAGGCACTTTTTGGGCTCGATTTTGGCGCTGTTCCGTCCTTCAGGGCCACCTTGGCTCTGGAAAATCTCACCATTTTACATCCGTTCCATTGGCGCAAAGAAACCCAATGATGATTACACACACACACACCAAAAAAAAGAAATGGGGTGCATGTGTCTCAAAATGGAAGATGATACCCCCAAAACAACAATTTGATAGATTTTGATATTGTAAGTATTGGAACCAAATTGGAATTGATGGACTGTCCAGCTATTAACTAGCTGACATTGCCGATCCTGAATATTTCAGCAGGCGTCCACTCTTTCACTTTGGGATTTAAAAAAAAAGAATCCGTACCTAAGAAATATCATAAAATGAAAGAAAACAACAAGAATTCAGTATTATATAAGATTCTTAAGATGTAATTATTAAGTACAGTAGGGATCCAAACCATTGCGCCCTGCTGTTCAAATTTGCCGTGGGATTCCTTGCGATCCCTTGGGCCCCCCGGCAGGCTGAGAACTCTGAATATCGAGAAACCGCTTATAAATGGTCGTACCGCGGTAGCGCAGAATCAACAGAATCGGAAAACAAACTGGTTAGTTGACCATTCTTCCGGGGTCGGCGGCAGGGGCGGCAGCCCTTAAATATCAAACCATCAAACCATATATTTTGAGGGAAATCCTGGTTTGATGATCTTTATATGGTTCCTCATTTTTTCACAGCTGGATGAAGAATGCTAATCTTCTGAACAGAGCTTTGCCTCTGGGCCGTGTACCAGGCATGTGTGTTTTCCCACCCAGTGTTCATGGGTAGCACCTTTGCTCCAAGAGGTCCATAGTGGTGGACTGTACCCCATTCTTTGGAGGTTCACATCATCTTTTCGCGTTCATCAAATCATTCGTCCAAACATCTCCTGCAGGTCTTCCATTCATCTGCCTGAAATTTCTCAGGAAATTCTCCGCCATGACACTCTGATGACACTCTGAAACCACCAACCACCCAGCGACCCACCCATCGACCCCTTGATCGCCATGGCGCCTCCTCCACGGTTTCAGAGGTCTTCGAAATCCTTGGTAAAATTACGACAGCAAGGAATCACAAAATAATCCTTTCATCCTCCCCTCCGGATAGGTTCCCACTCCAAAATGGTGGTAGCAACAACATCCATCCACTCCAGACAGAGGGCTAAACCAAGGCTTTGGGACTCCATAACCCCAACACTTGGTGGATCTAGAGATCGCGGGCCCGGGCCCTGAGAAAATAAGGAACTAATGAAAGGACAGCAGGAATCCATATCATTCCATGTCTATGATAAAATATGATAAAATCATGTTCATCTACTATATTCTGCGTTGAAATTGATGCCTATGCTTAGTCATAAGTCATACTTCCCATTCAAAGTAGACTAAGTAGACTATTATTTGACCCGTGGAAATTTAAGTGCTTCCCGCCCATCCAATTGGCTCTCCATCCCCGTTGATGGCACCAAGGGTCATGCAAGTCACCATGTGCTTTTCACCTCAGAGCAGGTGAGAACATCCTAACAGTTTGCTTAGTTGGCTCATAAATAATGTTTATAAGAAAATATATGAAAATATTTCTGGTAATTTAATTATACTGAAGTAACTTAGTAACTAACTACGGTTCATGGTGACAACTGTAGTTTTTCATGGGCTCATAGACCAACTTATAGCCGGGAGCACCATCCTGTGGATGACGTTTTGCCTTGGCCAGCCTTGCCTTTCGTGAAAAAGGTGGTCTATCTGAGAAGGGAAAATCCGTTCTTGCAAAGACATGCAACGACAAAAAGGTGCATAACGAGCAAAACGCGGGTAAATCACACACAGTTTGGTGAGCAAATCCCAAATAGCTGTTAGTACTTGGTGATATAACGGATGTGTTCTGGAATGTTTTTCTGGGGTATCTGGCTGCATGAGGCCAGAATCAAGGTTCCGATGTTCCGATGTTCCGATGTTCCGATGTCCACCTATTGTACCCAGCCTGATGGCACTCAATTGACTTAAGTCGTGTTGCCGTGGAGATTTCTGCACTGTTCTGACTGAAAGATCAGTAAAGTTCTGGAACCGAACCGAATCCACACTGAAAGATACTGAAAGGACATTTTCGTTGATCTCTTTGTCATCTTTCAGATGGGTTGCTTCGGGTTGCTTCAACTCCGCCCTTAGTTGAGGAAAACCACCCATGGAACATCTCAATGTACAGATGTCTTGTTCATGTTCTTTCCATTGCCATGTCCAGTGACTCAGGTGATGCTGCAGCATCTGGAACAAGGCAGTCACCTCGTGGACATCGCCTGAAGTGGAAGAACCCTGTCGGGATTTCAAGTTAAATGTACATGATCCCCCTTATATCCCCCTTATAGTTAAGTGTTTGACCCGGGTGGCGCCAATGTATAAGAACCCCCCATTGTACATGTAACCCCAAAAAATCCAGTCTGAAAGAGATGTTTCCTTCTGGAAATTGCAATTTCTGGGTTGGCAGGTGTCAGAGGCGTACCAGGATTCTCTGACTTTGAGGGATGTTTCAAGTGGACCGGACAGGAAAACCAGTGCTGCAGCCCGTAGGAATGATGTCCCTCGCCCCACAATGTGGCAAGAAACTGTTGTTCCAATTCCACCAGCAACTCATCGGATTTCTAGCGCCTGTGGTTGCAACAGGATCATCGCGTTTCCAGGACTTCTGGATGTTCCCAAAATGGCAATGGTCTCCCAGCTTAGGCATGTTTCATGATCATGTCCGGCAGTGAAAACCATTGAAAACCGTTTTGCGGGTGACCAATCCTCTAAGAACAAACGCCTGAAGGCCTCCTCTCACCATCGCCGCCCCCCTTAACTCGGCCGCCTTTCATGACCTGCCGTTCGCGGTTCATGACGCGCCGGCGCCAAGTCTTGTCCTCCAATTTTTGGTAGGACACGATCCTTGCGACACAGCCAAACTGAGGCAACGACCTAAAGTGGGGCTGTTCTTGAGGTTTGCTTTGAGGGAAAATATCTGGACGTTTCATTGGGAAATTCATCTATACTTGGGTGCTTTCAGCAAGCCATGTTTGGTTACCAAAGTGTCTTCAAAAAAGGGCAACTTTGCAGGTACGAAGCAGCAAAACATCCGTGTAGAAACACCGCAGTTGATCCTCTGGTTGGTGGACAACGCCTGGTACCATTGGCCCATCAGCATTTTTTTCTCTGCAAATGCATATACAGCCATTTCTAGTTCCAAAAATTGCAATTGAAAACGAAGAGTGACGAACTTGGAATCAATAAGCCATGTTTGGGTGGTTTGTTCAACCCCTCTTCTGCATGGCGAAGCTTACATAGCCCTTGAAAGAGCTGACCTTTCATCGGAAAAAAGGGTGAAAAATGGCCCAAATTGCTTTCTCCAAAGCCTTCCCAATAGGGTGGACCGCTGAGACCAACAGAGTGGGGACCCCTTTTTTCGACTGGAAAAAAACCCGGAGAATCAGAGCGAGCCACCTACTTCCACAGATTAAAAAATATGGCTTTCTAGTGCCATGTTACCAGAGGGTAATGCCATCATAATCATTGTAACCCTCAATATCAGTTGAAATTCTCATTTTCAAAAAGAAACTATGTTCAGTCACCCCATGAAAACATTTGGTGGTAGCAAAAACCCTAGGAAAATCCCTACATTTGATTCGTTTGATCATGCATTTCCTATTTTCATGCTTAAATCCCATTTTATAATTTTATATAGATGTGTTCATCTTAAAATCATCATGATAGTAAAAATCGCAACAAAAGGTTTCATCATGAAGTCGCCAGTCTTTTCATGCTTCCATATGAAAAATATGGGTCTGGGTAAATTATTATATTTCCCTAACCCGAAGAAAAAGGCCATTTGGGGATGATTTCCCTTACTAACCATGATTCCAGTGAGGTGTTTGCCATCCAAAAACCGAAAACAAAATCCGCCCAAATCGCTCCTGGTCTCACCGGTGAGCAACTGAAAGGCCCAAGCAACCGTGCCGCCACTGAGCGCGCCATAGCTCCTGATGGAAAAAATGTGCTACCCTAAGGAGCTATGGATGGTTTATTTCCATCGGGAAAATCGGAAAATCCCAATCTAATAGCTGGATGATTTTTTGGGGCTTTGGAAACCTCCATTTGATAGATGTTTGATAGAGATGTACTGTATGATATATCCAACAAAACATGAGCATAAATATATGTAGGGTATATGTATAATTATGTGTATATATATATATACATGTGCTCTCCATGTTTGGGATTGAATGGGGTTCAATCGGTTCAATGGGTTTTAAAAAGGGCTTGTTTGTGGGATTTAATTGATTTAACAATAGACGATGGGGATTCTAATATTTGATACCCTCCGGTAATAGATTGATACGAGTACTGGAGTACTGTATTTGCATGGAGAGAGATTGTGAGAATGAAAACTATGTGTATAAGATATTATCTTAATGTGACGAAAGCAAAATAAAATCCAACAGAAATGTGAACTGCAAATATCCCCAGCAAAAATGGGGATGAAAGTTCTTGAAAGAGCCAATATAAACACTGATAAGAAAAGGCGATATGCCATGCAGCGATGTTTTCGCGACTGTACCCCATCCGTGTGGGTCAAAATGATCCTGAACATTGTATTTGTCCTGCCTCTTCACTTTAGTGCTGTGTGACAGCGGTAGAGACAACCACGCGTGAAATCCCTACCAATGATTGTCATCGTAAATTGAAACAGCAAAACAACAACCAAAAAGAAAGTTGGGGGTGCCGACGAGACGAGGACTGACGGATGCATGGATGCATGATGACAAATGCCGGAAGGAACGCACATGCTTAGGGTGGACACACAAGTCCCGACCTGTGTACTATACCCCAAACATTGGCTGGTTTGCCCGCAAAAAAGTAGCAGATTTCAGCATTAAAGTTTGCAACGTTTGACCATTAACCTTCAATATTTACAGAATATAAGTATAAGTAAATAATCCCTTCCCGATGACATCAACGCTGAAATCGAAACTGGATCCGTTCATATTTTGAGCCCAAAACAAATGGTCAGATTCCGACCCTGCTCCCGCAGAACTTCGCAACGGCTTTCTCCAGGAGCAGAACCCAAATCTCCTGCAAGGGGATCGTTTTTTCGGCAACAAAATCTGGTGGTTCAATATCTATAGTTGAATTCAATAAAAACGGAACATATCGTAAAAGGGTTATGTGTCAAAACCCTAGTACCTACCTCAAAATAGCTGGTATTTATAGATCTTCATCATCTTCATCCCACTAAATAGGCTTAAAGAATAGCTTTTGACCCACCCCGAAAAATTTCATTCAAAATTCATCCCACGGATGGACAAAAATACTAAATCATCCTAGGGATGATTTCGATCCTTAGGGATTTCGCGATTTCGCTCCCGTCTGGTGCTTCAACTTTGGGGAAACTCCCGACCGTTGTGGATTATCTTCAGATCGAAAAGAATACTTAAAATATATCATTATATATATATATAGATATAGATATATTATATATATCATAATATATGTGTGTTCCTAAACCAAAAAATGTATAGAATCTCCAGGTATTTTTTGTGGGTTTACGACATCGCGTTTCACGCGTTTAACTTTCCTCACCCAAGGGCTTTGCGAAGGTGGGATCCGGGACACCTTCTCTCCTTGGCTCGGCTGTGGGGATCATCTGTGGATATTCCATGGCTATGCCATGCGTCCTCAGATCATGCTGGATCATGCTGGATCATGCTGGATCATGCTGGATCATGCTGGATCATGATGGATCATGCTGGATCATGCTGGATCATGCTGGATCATGCTGGATCATGCTGGATCATGCTGGATCATGCTGGATCATGCTGGATCATGCTGGATCATGCTGGATCATGCTGGATCATGATGGATCATGCTGGATCATGCTGGATCATGCTGGATCATGATGGATCATGCTGGATCATGCTGGATCATGCTGGATCATGCTGGATCATGATGGATCATGATGGATCATGCTGGATCATGCTGGATCATGCTGGATCATGCTGGATCATGCTGGATCATGATGGATCATGCTGGATCATGCTGGATCATGCTGGATCATGATGGATCATGATGGATCATGCTGGATCATGCTGGATCATGCTGGATCATGCTGGATCATGCTGGATCATGCTGGATCATGCTGGATCATGCTGGATCATGCTGGATCATGCTGGATCATGCTGGATCATGCTGGATCATGCTGGATCATGCTGGATCATGCTGGATCATGATGGATCATGATGGATCATGCTGGATCATGATGGATCATGCTGGATCATGCTGGATCATGCTGGATCATGCTGGATCATGCTGGATCATGCTGGATCATGCTGGATCATGATGGATCATGATGGATCATGATGGATCATGCTGGATCATGATGGATCATGCTGGATCATGCTGGATCATGCTGGATCATGCTGGATCATGATGGATCATGCTGGATCATGCTGGATCATGCTGGATCATGCTGGATCATGCTGGATCATGCTGGATCATGCTGGATCATGATGGATCATGCTGGATCATGCTGGATCATGATGGATCATGGGATCATGCTGGATCATGCTGGATCATGCTGGATCATGATGGATCATGATGGATCATGCTGGATCATGCTGGATCATGCTGGATCATGATGGATCATGATGGATCATGCTGGATCATGCTGGATCATGCTGGATCATGCTGGATCATGCTGGATCATGCTGGATCATGCTGGATCATGCTGGATCATGCTGGATCATGATGGATCATGCTGGATCATGCTGGATCATGCTGGATCATGATGGATCATGATGGATCATGCATGGATCATGGGATCATGCTGGATCATGATGGATCATGATCATGGATCATGATGGATCATGCTGGATCATGATGGATCATGATGGATCATGATGGATCATGATGGATCATGATGGATCATGATGGATGATGGATCATGCTGGATCATGATGATCATGATGGATCATGATGGATCATGATCATGGATCATGATGGATCATGATGGATCATGATGGATCATGATGGATCATGATGGATCATGATGGATCATGATGGATCATGATGGATCATGATGGATCATGATGGATCATGATGGATCATGATGGATCATGATGGATCATGATGGATCATGATGGATCATGCTGATCATGCTGGATCATGATGGATCATGATGGATCATGATGGATTATGATGGATTGTTGGGTTCAGTAAGGTGCCCAAACTAAGTGCGTTCGAGTCCACTATTACTGTAGAGGACACCAAGAAATTGCAGCTGCGACGTGTAAACCCCGTACAGCCAAGGAAGAGGGAATATAATGCAGATGGGACGTATAACGGTATCGAAAAGTCAGTCCGAGGAACCATAAACCCCATCCGAGTACTTCGGGAGGGTCATTGTCAAAACGTGACAAATTGCTACTGAAATGAAAGACCTTCAAGACTTAAAACGTCTTAAAACAACCAAAAAAAAAGTGAAGAATCCGATTTCTAAGAAGATATAAATTCCCAAGAAAAATGTGAACACCACCAGGCGAGTACGAATGCAGGTCACACTCTCATTAGCAAGTCGCCCATTCCTTATTCCTCCGACAAGTTTCAAGGAACATGGGATGAACCTTGGCTCTTCGCCCCGCGAGCTATAGACAGACAAACAACGAGAGGTGGCCTTGCAAAAATGTGGGTGACCCATTTTTTGATTTACATACCATTTACATCGCATATGGCATCATACGGCCTATTCCGCGAGCTGCACCCACAACTGCAAATGTATAAAAAACTATCATATAAAAGTATTGCTTTTCCTGAGGCACAGATGCCCTCATCGTGTTTTCACAAGCTCTTGAGTTTGTCCCAAAATCAATGTTGTATAGCCAGTATACCCCACGTATCCCTATGTGATGGATGGAGCAAAAGACTGTTAACTTTCGTAATTCATGGGGGGTGCTTGTATTTAAGGTCGGGGGGTTGTGCATAAGGCTAGGTAGTGTTGACGGTCATTGAAATTGGTATGGGGGCTACACCGACCTTGATAACGAAGTTGAACACGAGATAAAGATCACAATTAACCCCACTGGGCAATGCTTGCCAGCTTGCCCATGTAGAACTTATGGTCTGATCGTTGTATTGATTTATATTTGGTACATGTTCCCATGTTCAGTAAGACGCTGTCTCCCAGCTTGTTTTTTGTTCCTGTAGGCCCTGGGCGTGTCTCGCATTTGTTGATTCTCATCCAGTTGAAGTCCCACAAATCTTATTATGTGCACGGTGCCCCACAGCACAAAAATGTGAGAGGCCAAGTCGATCTTACAAAAACAAACCATCAATTTGTATGATTTTTCCAACTAAAAAATCAATCATTGAATTAAAATTGGACAGCTGTGAAAATCTAGTTGTGGAAGGTGGCGGGGTTGTCTTTCAGGTTTGCCCCCGAAATAAGGTGCATGCAGTATGCAAAATTCATAAGATCAAATGTAGGGGATTCTTGGCTGAAGAGAGGGTTGCGAAGACAGGGTTGCGCAATTAATTTCGGGACGCGGCCAAGAGTTCAGTTAATTTTTTTCATTTGTTTCTTCTATTTTATTTCAGTACAGTTTTACTTTCTTTTTTTTGCAGCCAGAATCCTGTGCCTTGCCGGCTGCTCACAAAAGGTAGTCTTTAACAAAGGCCCGCCGCAGGCGACATTTTTGAGCATAGGATCGTCGCCCAGGAAGCATTAATTCCATCAATCTGAAAGCAATGAAAAAACAAACAATAAATAGATGTATTGTGTTTTCCTTGTTTTCAATTCTTCTAGTTTTCTTTTTTAAATTCTGTTCAGTTTTTCATTTATTTCCTTTTTGCGTTTTCATTCTATGTTTTTCTCTTGTTTATGTTTTCTGTGTGTTTTTTTTTGTCTCCGCAAAATCCTTAAATTCAAAGGCTGGCCTTGAATTTAAGGAAATTCGACTTTTTCCCATGTTTCTTTTTTCAAAAAAAATGAAATTTGATCTTTTTGCAAAATCCACCGTTTTTGATTTTTTACACAAGGAATTTTCCAAATAAAAACACTGAAATAAACTTTTTAAATATGTTTTTCCTGCAACATATAATTGTGGGAAAAGTCAAAATTCTTTGAATTCAACGCCGGCCAGTAAGATTAAGGAAATAAGGAAAATACAATAACAAATATATAATGAAAAAACACACAAGCAAAAAAAAAAATACATTAGAACCATTTCCAAAAAAAAACAAGAAAGAAACAAAAAATGGAAAGGTAAAGAAAATCCAAAATATAAAGAAAACAAAAACAACAGAAAAAAAAATACAAAAAAAAAACGAAAAAAAGAAAAAAACGGAAAGAAAAAAAAACAACGCTAAAAAAAAGAAGAAAAAACGGAAAACAAAATCGGGAAAAAAAACGGAAAAAACATCGAGAAAAAAAACGGAAAAAAAAACGGAAAAAAAAACGGTTAAAAAAAAGAAAAAACGAAAAAAAAAACGAAAAAATCGAGAAAAAAATTGAAAAACAAAAAAAACGACCAAAAAAAAAGGCGAACAAAAAAAAAACGGAAAAAAAAAAAATCTTATTTCAGGCAAAAATACCTTAAATTCAGCCCTAGGGTTGAATTTAAGGATGCTGTGATGACTTTGGCCTATATTTTTGCTCCAAAATATGAGAAATATTGGTTTTGGAATGGATTTTGTAGGCCAAATTTCTTTTTTTGGCATAGTAATTTTGATATTTTTTCATTGTTTTGGGCTTTTTGTTTGCAATTCACTATGCCAAAGTCATCACAGCATCCTTAAATTCAACCCTAGGGCTGAATTTAAGGTATTTTTGCCTGAAGTAAGATTTTTTTTCGTTTTTTTTTTCCGCCCTTTTTTTTTCGGGTTTTTTTTTTTTCGATTTTTTTTGTTTGTTTTTTCGATTTTTTTTCTCGGTTTTTTTCGTTTTTTTCTTTTTTTCGCGTTTTTTTTTTTCCGTTTTTTTTTTTTCGTTTTTTTTCGGTTTTTTTTTTTCGCGTTTTTTTTTCCGATTTTTTTCTCGATGTTTTTCGTTTTTTTTTTCGATTTTTTTTTCATGTTTTTTTTTTGATTTCTTTTTTTTCCGCGTTGTTTTTTTTCTTTTTTTTCCGATTTTTTTTTCTCCATGTTTTTTTTTTTGTTCGTTGATTTTTTTTTCTTTTTCGTTGTTTTTTCTTTGCTTTCATTTCGTTTGTTATGTTGTTTTTTTTTCGTGTTTTTTCCTTTTTTTCATCTATTTTTTTCGTATGTTTTTTTTCGTTGTTTTTTTCTTTTCCTGTTTTTGTTTCCTGTTTTTTCTTTTTTGTTCATTCCTTTTTTCTTTTTCTTTTCATTTTTTGTTCCATTTATTTGTTTCCGTTGTTTTTTTTTTCGGCTTTTTGTTTTTTTACTCCTATTTGTGTTTTTTTCTTTTTTTGCTATTGTTTTTCCCTTTTTTTCGTTCATTGGTTGTTTCTATGTACCTCGGTTTCCTTTACGTTTCTATATTGTTTTTTCGTTTTGTTACCAAATGCATGGTTCTCATGTTTTTTTTTGCCATGTTTTATTTGTATGTGTTTCTCATTATTTGTTTTTCTATTTTCCTTATTTCCTAGCTGAGGGGCTGGCCTAGAATGTAAGGAAATTTGACTTTTCCCACAACTCAAAAATGCCGCCTGCGGCGGGCCTTTGCTGAAACAAAAAAATGAGCAGCCTGCAAGGCTTCTGGCTGCAAACAATAAGAAAGTAAACGTCGATTTACATCAAAAAACAAAAAACAGTTAAAACAAAACTGACATAATGAAACAAGATTTGACAAACAAAAGCGAAACAAACACTGAAGATCATTGAAGCATGTAAATTACTTCTCAATGGCCTTCTTGCCGGCAGCTCACCATGGTCATGGAACAAGTCCAGTAAGCTGTTGGAAAATATTGGAAATATTTGTTTTGGATAATTTCTTTAGGTGCCTGCATTCGGTTCTTTGTGACTCCTGTGGTCTTCTGCGACGACTTTATTTTGGCCGACACTGACACCATCTACTAGTTTTGTCACCCAAAATCTTCACAAATTGAACCATGTGGATGGGTGCAATTACATGATTCAACACAAATTGCCTAAAACCCAGTGGAACTGGATGTCAAGCTAAAACTGTTGGTTCGCAAATATCCTAAAGCTTATTTCAAGTTCATCAGCCATTTGAAGGCAGCTGCATTGGCAAATGATTTAAGCAGTTTTGTTGCCAAAATGTATTGATATATATATTCTTTGCTCAGTTTGTCCAGATGTGTATCACAGTGTTGCAAACCTTTCTCAAGCTGTCTCCGATTATATGTTTGCATCTTCACTTTGGGCCACCATGCTGATTTTCGAAGCACATGCTCATGCACGTGGTCCCGGTTTTATTTCAATTCCTTCAAATCAGAGTAGCGTTCATATCTTTCCTCACAAGCCCTTCTGCCATACCCGCATGGCTTATATACAACCCTAATACCTTAGCAGCAAGGAATTACGAAAGTTAACACAAAAGACAATCCCCAATCTTTCCAGAGATAAAGTCTCCAAGGAACTCATCAACTGCCACGGTCGTCCAGCCCAACAGCTCCTTGGCACTCGTGTTGGTGCTTTCACCCCACCAGAAAACAGATTGAAACAGATTGAATCATGTGGAATCACTTGTTATATCTTACCCTCCAGTAAATTAACATAAACCCTGGCAGATAGGGGTTGGAAGGCTAGTTTCCATTAAAACTAGGCTATTTTCAGGGTCAATGTTAATTTACCAGAGGGTATTATCATCCTAGTTTGAGTGAAAATCTGAAGAGGAAATTGCCGACCACAGCAATTTAGAATCTTCAGACGTAAAAGAATGGTGTTTGCTTTTCACCATCGTGGGACAAGGAGTGCCAGCTGTCGGTCCTGGGGGTTGAACCATATCCAAGACCCACGTGAAATGGATAACACCAAATTTGGGGAATATCTGGCCCATACATTGCAGAGATAAACCCCAAAAACTAAGTATCAATAGGCCATCCACCATGGACGGTGGTTGGACGCATGTTTTTTTTTCAGTCAGCACTTCATTTGGTTTCACTGTTCGTCATAACTGGTAGTACCTCTGAGAATGGCTCACAATCGTCAAAAAATGCGGTGTTCAACTCAATAGGACGCCCATGTTGGTATGGCCATCCTATTTCCATCCAGAAAACACCAGCTCTTTATCGCAAGGATCGATGTCGTAGAGACGTACTTCGTACTTCCCGTCCTCAGTCGTGGTGGTCATGCCATCCCTCATGGAATTCCCCGGAACAAAAGGGAAATCAAGCACCAAAGCTGGGACTCTTTACCTCACAATGATCGTAGATTGAACTTAAGCATCCATCTTGATCAATTCCACATATCTTCCAATAGTGTGACCCATCAAACATAGTGCAATCACCAATTTGCAGGTGCGGCTTCGATTGTTTGTAAATCTCCGGGTGCTATTCTTTGTGAATGAAGACCTTTTGGGACCACATTTCAACATCGGCTCAAGCTTGCGAAAGACCGAGAAAGCTCTCCTGCCAGGCGACCCCCTCATTGTGAGATTTCCATAATCCGTTGGTTCAAACAGGCATCTTTTCATAGCCTATCGCTCCCTCCCAATCCTCCTTGGTAGTAATTTCTTTCCGTAAATGTGCCATCGCCATGAGCTTCATGCTTTCCCCCAAAAAAATTGGGTCAGCAGCCAGGGGTCAGCAGCTTCCTGGTTTCGTTTCAATCTCCACCGTCCCAACCCAACCCGGTTGGTTTGCGAAAGCTCCAGAGGCACCTGCGAAACGCTCTGCGTCTTGAAGAGCTGTCGTATCTGCTCCGGATACTCCGCCAAGCCTCCAAACTCAAGGTTCAGAGGCGAGAAATGGTAGCCCACCATCAATCAACCTCTGCTTGGTTCAAATATGTGGGACACCATTTCTAGCAATATGTCATCACCCTCAGGAGAGTTCATGAAACAAGATGAGCAGGGCCTATTAAGTTGATATTTCACCACAGTATCCTTATGATATCAAACCCACAACTTCACCGCTGATCTTCGAGCATCACGAAACACGCTTGTCAGGATTGGGAGCAGTAGAAATCTCCCAAAATGGATAGTTTTGGGGTATTTTCCACTTTTGAGCCAAAGCCATATGTGGTAAAAATCGATGTAAATCGCACAAATCCCTGGAGGCCATTTGGCTTGACCCGTCCCAAACTGCCACCGGGGAGCTGGCCAAAGCGCTCATTAACCAACAATCGCCCAGATCGCCCTGCAAGACCTTGGCAGGGTAAGGTTCCAGCACCACAAAGGGTTTGGAACTAAGATAAGAGTCGGATTTATGGATATTTATGGTAGATATTATCTAGATTTATGGTAGATATTACTGTATCTAGATTTATGGTAGATATATGTAGATATCATCTATTATTCATAGATACTATCTACTAATCTACATGTAATTTGGGCTATAAACCAACTTACAACTGGAGGAGCACCACCTTAATCCAGCCCTGAAACCCGAGCCTACTTCCACTAAGTATTCTGGAGGTGGGGGCAACTACTGGGATGACGGCACAGGTGGACAGACCATGACACCACGAGGGTGAATCTGTGAGGGTTGACCATCCAAAGAGTTTTTGGTGTTGCGCCAAGTACAGACTCAGGTCGTGTTCGTTGGTACCTACACTTCGCCATCGACCCTTACTGATTGGTGGTTTCCAGCCACCTGGAAAAATCGTTGTCGTTCAAAGTCCTCATTCCAAATTGGTGGGCAAACAAAGCATCTGAAAGCGACACCATTACCCAAACGATTAAATCAATATCCCCATGTTTTCTGTTGGTTAATACATACCGACATACCCAATAACTAGTTGTTTAGACTGCCATCAGCCCTTAGATCTTCATCCAAAGTATCTATTGAATTGAAACGATTGAAACCTCCTGGCGCATCAAACACCTTGGCCCAGTGACGTCTTGACACTGGATCTTGTCGAACAAGACGACCTGTGTTGGGAATCGCCGCGGCAACAGCCCATGTCGTCTGAGGTTCCATTTTATTGTTGGCTAAAATGTTCAGTGTCCATTTATCGTCATGTGCCTAGGTATACACGGGAAAATAGGTTAATTACAGTGAATTACTATACTGGAAGACATGTTGCGGGGCCCGTCTCGTAGACCCCCTTTATTATCATTTACCTAGAACGGTTGTGAAGGGCGCAACTACCTCTCTTTGCTCATCAACAAAGCAGTAGTTAAAGCACATCAGCACATCTATGTTTCATTACCCATCATTATCTGGGCAAAGTACTACAAGTCTCAAATCAGAAATAGGCCACTTCGGATGATTCTCCCTATAACCCACACTGTAACATTGTGACCTCGTAGGGAGGTTGCTAACATTTACCCAAATCATATCCATATCATTTTTGTTTGTATGATTTATATTCCCATCATATCCCCATGATATCCCTGTTATCCCCATTAAATTCCCAGTATTTGCCACCATGTTTGTCAGTTAAATCCCCAATTACTTGAAATCCCACATGTTCAAGGCATCCCCCACATAGATTCCACATTCATGCCACATTAAATTAACATAGATTCAATTTTTGTCAGTTAAATCCCCCACAGATGTCGGTAAATCCCACATTCAACTATAGATTCCCCCTTACCCTCTGGTAAACAGACAGTTTGCTATTGAAAATGGCCATAGAAATAGTTGATTTACCCAGCTATATCGCGGACCGTTCTCTGGCAGCTATGCACAGCGCAAGCAGTGCAGTAGCGGCCTTGTCTGTGCCTATGACAAGGGTCTGGCGAGGTCAGCGGCTTTGCGCATCAGCCGCTGCCCAAAAAATGTTGCAGATAATGAGCTGAGCAACGCAACATGATCTGAACGGATTGAAAGGAACAAACCGTCAACCGGCACCGCAATGCCCGCACAATGCCTGTTCAAATTACGACAAACATAATCACCAAGTCCAAGAACTTTCAATCCACTGACAAAGCCCGAACGAAGCTTCTGGGCAAGAAAAGCGACAGTGGGTCGCATCATCAAATCAGAGATATCTCTACATTTCCATTGGCCATTAGTGGTTCGCTCGGTAGGAAACTGTTCCCCGAGAATTTTTCTTTCCACAACGTGAGCTCAATGAAACTGATGGTCTCAAAGTGAGGACAAGATGGTTCAACATCTATACATCGTCTCAAAATGTCTAAAACGAATTCAACCGGCAAAAATAGAGACTCCTTTGCATCATGGATTTGCTGTTGCCAATTGACTGGCAGTGCATCTCCGAGTGAAACCTCTAGCCTAAGCTCAGCTAAGAGAGTCGCTTCCCGAGTCAGGTCAATCACTTCTGGTACTTCTTGTTTCGTCTGGGCAACCTTGATTTAAAAAGCGAGCTGCGCATCAATCCGGGACGCCCATGTCCGGTAGAACTTGTCAGCTGCCTCAAACAAGAAACGAAAGCTCGCTCCACGCTCCAAGTTGGTATAGACAGCCTGCTGGTCCACAACATCGTTCCAGACGGCCAAGTATTCTTCCGTTGCATCTTCACAGAGTGCCTCATCAATGTGGGATGCAGTCCGTCGAAATTCAACCTGTCCTTCTCGCGCTTGAGAAAGAACCTCTCCCCCAAAGTGCGCCGCAGGTCATAGTTTTCGCCATGATGAGCCCCTCAGAGGCTGGCTTTTTGAACTCCACAGGCCTTTCGGCAAATGCTGGCTGAGTGTGTGCGAAGGAGAACCTCAGTCCCAAAACGAATGGCCCACTCAGCTGCAGAAATAAGGCCCCATAGTTCAGCCCGCCCAATGGTTTGGCAAAGTCCAGGGGCGCAACCACAGCTGACCGTCATGCCAGTGCTCGCATTCACCACTGCCCACGCCGCTCGGTCAAGGTTAAAAACAACCCTCTTAAAAAAGGATCCATCAGTAAAAACATGATTTCTGACTCCGTGCCTGGGTTCGCTGTGGAAGCACCTGCCAAGGTCAGGGAATCCCAAGAAATACTCTTTCAGTGGCACCACATGCGGTGATCTTCGAACCAGTAGGTGAAGAGCAACACATTGTGGCGCTTGGTCAATCCAAGGAAGGATAGCCCCACAATCACTTCTCTGTGCGGCAAAACGCGGACATTTGAGCCAGCGCTGTTGTGTACCTGGTTGGGAGACAGTGCTGACAAATTGGCTGTTTGGTTTTGTCATATTTTGCCTGCTGCCATGAAGAGACAAAAGCTCCAGATTGCAGTGCTTTCACCCTCGCCAGATCAATGGCCGTGAGTTTCTCATGCGTATCCAAAGTAAGAGCTACATCTATCCCATCCACACCAGTCATAGTTTTGTGGCGAACAGTTCCAGCAACATTTTTGAAGCCACGCCTCATGTAGAAGCTGCCGCAGTGCTCCTTGCGAAGTTTCCAGCAAATTAAAACAGAAGCCATCATGGTCCTGCAGCATTGGTGGAACCAATACCTGCCAGCCAATCGAGTTCAGCAGAGTCAACAGTTTTGTAAAAGGGCCATCGCGCAAAGTGCCATCATATCGCCGCATAAAAACACGCCAGTGCACAATCAAGTCAGGACTTTTGAAGCAAAGTCGCTGAAAGTCAAAGATGGCAGTGCGAAGCTGATAAAAGCCTGGGTCTGCTGTCGGCGGCTGAGACAGGGAGAGCCTCAGCATCGGATTTGATCCAGCAAGCTGGTGGCCAAGATGTTTGACTGCTTCAGTGCGAAGTTCTGCTATGTGGCTCCCCGCAAAAACACAACTGAGCACGCCATGAAGTGCTTTCGCCCAAAAGACTGATGGCAAAGCACGATGTAGGGGCACTCGAGCGCCGAAGACGCTGCCATTTCTAATGCATGGAACTGCCTTTTTGCACAAAGAGCCGGACTCGGTGTGCTGCAGTGAAGGTAAGGGCCCCGCCCAGCTCACTGAAGTCCTCGACAAGCTTGATGCCCAATTGTTCCAGTGGCCATCGAATGGCCGTGGTGGTACCCGACGCGTAGGTTTTCTGCAGGTCAAGGGTCAGCCCCCACATAGTCAAAAAAGACCGTAAAGTGAAGAAAGCCCAGGCCTCCAGGTAGGCCTCACGAGCAACCATGGAAATGTTGTCAACAAAAGAAAAGTTTCGCACTCGAGGAGCGTAGTGCTGCTGATAGAGATGGAAACTTCAGTCAACAAGCGCCATCGCAAAAAAAACTCGGTGGACATCCTTCGGCAAAACCTTGGGATGATGTAGCTGCTGGGCTAACTTGGTTGCAAAAACCACAAATCTTCGTGTGAACTGGGAAACAAAGGTTCGCTATGGATGCAGAAGTTGCTCAGGGACACCAATCGTCTCAGCCAAGTGCCATAGGGGTTCCCTGCGGATGCTGTTGAATGCTTTGACAAAGTCAGTGCCAATGCCCGCAAGTGGCTGTGCTGATTGCAGCGCCACCTCAACAGCAGCTTGAATTTGCATCCATGTCTGAGCAGGTTCGCGTGAAGGAAGGAATCCATGAGCATCCGCATGGATTAAGGCTCGATCTTGCGCAAAAGTTGCCTTGATCGGAGTGAAGCCCAGCATCTGTAAATGATGGAGAGCAAAACAATTGGCCTGTACTCGTTGGGCTTGTGGGCTCCATCACACTTGGCTAAAGCAATGACCGGGCCCTCAAGTAGCTGGGCTGGCCATGGCATTTGATTGGCCTCAACAGCAGTGAGGATCGCTAAGAGGCGCTTCGTATACGATCTTGGCATTTTCAACAAGTCATGTTTTGCCCAGCCATCAGCACCACGTGCAGCATGTGGTCGAAATCGCTTCACTGAGCGCATCCAATCTTCAACTGTCAGTGGTCAATGGCAGCTTGGGCATGAAGTGAGAGACAAATCCATTCACCCTCGCCCAGATCTCATCATTCAAAACATCTGTGCAATTCCATCGCGGTCTCCAAAAATCAAGGAGTTGCTGGTGAACCTCTTCAACCGTGGATGTATGGTGATGAAAATCCAAGTAGTCACCAACATTGAAATCAGGCAGGGCATCAAACACAAGGAGTTCCTCTATTGAGCCACGGACAGCCAAATGGTGCCCATTTTGAAACCATTGGCCGCAAACATCTGGGGGCACCGGCTTGTGAAGAAGCACACTGTGGGTGTCATTCTTGATGGCCAAAACTTCAAAAAGGGGACGTGTCCCAAAAAGAATCAACTTGATCGGGTCTTGGGTTCCTGAGTTCCTGATACAACGCTTTCATGGTCTTGTCATGCTTGGCCTGCAGCGCTTGCTTGCGCTGGTTGAGATGCCATTGCTCAAAGGTTCTGAAGGCATGATGGAAAGCTTGGTAGATCAAAATCGCAAGTTCTTCTCCTGGAGGAGTCAAAGGAAGTGGCCCCAAGGTGGAGTAGAAGTCGTGTTGTTCCCACCATTGAGGAAAGGATCTGTCAAATCCTTTGGAGCGCCTGATTGCTGACCACAACTCGATTCTGTAATGTACTGCAGCATCATGGGTCTGACCGGCACAGATGGCGTGTCGGTAAGACTGGAGTCTTCTGAGCTGCTTGAACCATAAGATCACAGCTTTGCCCACCGTATCTGCCACAAGTTCTTCCTCACCTGGTCTGCTTGCCCTGCAGGATCTAGGTGTGGGATCTAAGTGGGCAGGTCTAAGCCGTTGTGCACGCCCACAGTGTGCAGTTGGCAAAGACCGGGTAATCTTGGACAAAACCATCCAAAGATCCCTCAAAAGAAATGGCAAAAGATCTCATGGTTTGAGTGGCCTCCGTCAAAGGTGGGAAGGTCACATCTTCACAATGGAGCTGCCAGTCAGCAATCTGGATTTCGTCCCATGGAATTTGGCTGGAACGTGGCCAAGTCAAAATCTTGGGCTTCACGTTCTCAATGTTGAGGCGCGCAGCAACAGAAGCATGTAAGCATGGTCATGGAACACGTCAGTCACCAGAACTTCAGAGCAAAGAGATGCTGCCATCAGTGACATCCAAATTTGATCACGTTCTGTTGCCCCTTTGCAGGTGGGAAGAATGGGCTGATTCCATCTAAGTGCAGCAAGGGCTTGTGCTGAACAGTAGCCTGCCGCCCTCCACGCATCAAAACTTGAAAGCTCATGGGGGCTGAAGTTGAAGTCACCCACAATGAGGACAATCCCCTGATAGCCCAGTACAAACTCCTTGGTGAGGGCAGGTGCCCTTGGCCAAGTAGGCCCTCGTGGGAGTCCATACAAACTGATCACCGTGATAATGTGCTGGCCAAGGTACTGTTGAGTAGCCAGCACCCGACCTGCATTCCAAAAATTCTGCAGGCCAATCAACTCGGAGTCGTTTGGAACTAAAGTCGCTGGTACATGCTGTCCCCGACCATGTGCCAGCCCAGGTTGATCTGGATCTCAAAGCTACAGGGGCCCCAAAATGGACTCGTAGATGACGTCCTTCTTGGCTGGCATGATATTTGAGGGCTTTGGCGGCGGAAGCTTGTGTCACCGCTGAAAGGTGTGTCTCAGAGTAGCTCCAAATGCCGCTGCCCTGGCCAACTGCCAGCAATTCTTTGTTTGGGAGTCCACCAGGATTGGAGGTGCCAACTGTGAGGAACTCAGTCGGCCCTGGGTGAAGAGCTTCACCAATTCGCAGGCCCTGAAGGTGACCATGCCAAAGAGGATGATGTGGTTCAGCTTCAGCTGGAACATATAGAGATTGACCATGGTTAAAGTCCATCCCAGCCGCAAATTGGAGTGGAAAAAGTCCAATGAAAAGGAGAAGCCTGCAAAACCCAAGCAGGAACTTTGGACTACTCATTCGTGAGCCCAGGTGTCTTCTAAGTCCAATCGAAGACCTGCTCGCCATAGTCATTCACTACGATGCTTTTTGCTGAACATCGCCTCAAGCTAAGTCAGCTGACATCTCTGATTGGTGGGTCGCCAGCGACATTTGGATCGTCTGACCCAAGTTCTCCGAAACTGACTTGACTTCGTGATGTAATCCTTGAAGATCTTGCTGATGCGTGCTCAAAGTGTAGTTGATTGTGGTGATTGCGGCCTCCGTGGCATTAAAAGCTTGGCCCGGTGAACCACTGGTTGAATTGTTGTTGCTGCGCTTGGATCTCACCCATGGTGTTCTCGATCTTCTGGAAGCGCTCTTCAGTGGCCTGATTCGGTCCATCAACCTGCATGGTATCCTTGTGGAGCTTGTACTCCTCAAGGTCTTTGCGCATGGAGGCCTGAAGTTGATCACGCAGCTGGCCGGTCATTTCAGCAAGGTGACTTTTGCCTGGACCAAGCTTGGTTGCTGCGGCAGAACCAGTAGTGAGCTTCCAGGTGTTCCAGGGGTCTTCAGCAGGTTCTTGCCAGGGATCATGACCAGCTGCAGTAGATGGTGAGGCATGCGTCTCAGTGCGCAAATGCTTCTGGGTCTTCATCGAGGCGAGGAAAGTAGGTGGCTTGGCCGCTGTGGGTGGTTTGGTTGTCTCAGTGATGAGAACTTCCCTGCCAAAACTGGTGAAGATGTTGGCTGGGGTGGGTCAGATGAGCCAACCTGCCAAGATATGCCATCTTGTTGTCCACGACCTGGTTGAAGTGGTTTGGCCAGCCATCCCAAGTCTTTCAATCTGCGGATAAGTTCGGCCCGCTGAAGTCCATGAGGCAGAGGAAAGAGTTGGAATGTTCTTTGAACTCGAGCAGCAATGAAAGTGGCTTCAGGTTTGAGCTGCTTGAAGGCCACTTCCTCATCATCTGCATAGACCCTAACCCGTATTTCTGCTTGAGACGCACAAGTCCAAGTGCCTTGGGGCATGTTTTGCACGAGCGCAGTGCTTCAGCCAAGAAGTGGGAATTCATCCAGATGACCCTGTATGTGTCATCTGGGCTCTTGTCTTTGCGAGGGTCAAAGTAAACCCCAGGGACATAGAGCTGCAGCAGGGGTTTGACCACCATGTCAGGCACCCGGAGGAACACAGAAAAGCAGGTGGCATCTTCGGCAGGGGCACGACCTCCCTCAATTTTGCCAAAGTTTCTGCCCCATACTTCCATGATGATGGAGTCTAATGGTTCCCCAACCGGTTGATGGGACTTTGGGCAGTCTGATCCACAGCCTTCACCATGCACAAAGTTGAAGAAGTGGAATCAGGTTGCATAGAAGCCGCACTGGTGACTTGACAAAGTCTGGCCATGGCTGCTGGAGTTCATCTTTGAAGACATGTAGCCGAAGCACCGCATTGTCAACGATGTCGATCTTGGTGAGGTTACCAGCCATGTGGCGAACAACCTTTTGGTCACCGAGGTTTTTGAGACTGCCAAAAATCAGGCTAGGTTCACCTGTTCCCTTGTAAGTCGCTGGGAAAGATACTTAGGAGGCATCATATTGATCCAAAAGGTCTTGAGGTGACTCTTCAGTGATCAAGATTGCCAGGGCTGCCGGGTGCTGATTGAGCCTTGGTGTTGGAGCCATTGTTGTCCTTGTTCACGAGTGGCAATCGCAATTCCATGGGCTTCAGCCTCAATGTCAGCCAGTGCAATCTGTGGCACAATGTCGCCGTCCGGATCTTTGAAATGATCAGGGTGAAGTTGCAGAGCATCAGGGTCAAAGTGAGGAGCAGGATGTGGTCCTTTCTCAACCTTCTTCTTGTTCTTGTGATTGACGATTCCAGCACCATACTTCTTGGTGGCAGACTTCTCAGCGTGTCCAGCCAATTCATCAGGTTGAACAAGTCTGAAGGTGATGCCCGGCTTGTTAGCCTGCAACTTCAAGTGTGCCCAGCATGTTTTGCTACAAAAGCGGCACTGATGGCTGGCGCTCCAAGCTTTTGGATGGTCAAATTGGCCCGGTCAACGGCTTTGTTCTCAGGAACTCCATGTTCGGTCAACACATGCACCAGCTTGTTGAACTGGTCAGTCGAGAGAGTCGCAAGGGCATTTGCGAAGGTACTGCCAACAAGTCCAGGTTGGCTGAGGATCCACTTGTGGATGGTGTGCACATCAGGATGAACCATAAGTCCAGGGTTCAGCAAGTGAAAGAGATGCACAAGAGCCAAAGTGCCGCAAGTGCTGGAGTCAACCTGTGGGATGGCATTTCCAGGCTGTGGTGGGTGAAAGTCCAATTCCAAAAGCTTTGAGAGTGCCTTCGCAAGAATCCAGGTCTCATGGCGGATTTCGTGGAAAAGTCCATCAAATTGACGCCAGGTGAAAGTTTCTCCTTCTTGAAGTCCCCAAAGCAAGGTCCAGTGCCCAGCAGCTTCAAAAATGCAAACAATGTTTTCTCCACTGCTCCGCGCACCTCATCTTCAAACTTTGTGAGGGTTTCCTCGTGACCTTCTGAGCTGAAAAAGTCTCCAACCGCATTTTGTGTTCCTTGCACATACTGTGCTTGCAAAGCCTTCAGGAAGTTTCGGGCAACTTGCTCTGGGACTGGCGCCGAAAGCGGTGAAGCCGTCGCCTCTATCTTCTGGGAGTCACAAATTTCCGCCTTTTGGTCCTCAAGGCTTAGTTGATTCTGTTGATTCACTTGCGTAACAAGTTTGTGTACGGTTTGCTGGACATCCTCCAACATGCCATGCATCCTGTCTTCTGACGAGTCCCTTTCGAAGAAATCATCACCACCGCCGCCGCGGCGATATGGACCGATCTTGCACTCGGCCATCAGGGTGCTCACAAATCTCTCCTGTTTTCTAGCACCGACCATGGGGGACATTCCCAGGCACATCCGCAAAATGCCTTTGATATGCGAAACAAAGCGGGCTTCTCATCGGTCGAGGCAGAAGAGGTGGACCTATCCGACATGGCTTTACAGCCTGAGTGGTTTCCACGGGATTTCGCTTAGTTCCGAAGATTTGAGGTCAACGGCTTGAGCCAAAAATGCAAACAATGTGACCTGAGGAAGCTTGGTAGTCAGCCCGTAGCTGAAAGCCATGTGCTGGGGAGATCCAGTTGTGCTTCAAGGCTTCCGCAAGTGCTGGATGAATGGCCAAAACATCACCGGCTGCATGTTGGCTATGTGCCAGCAGGTGCTGGATACCTTGCCAAATGTGGCCATCATGAAGACCATCTCTTGCATCTGGTATTACTCCATTGGCACAGCGGAAAAATCTAACCGCTAAAGTCCAAGGTGCCTCGTCTAAGACTTGCAGAACCAGAGGATGCCAGAGTCGATGGTCTGAATGTAGGATAGTCCCCTGCAGGGTGATGACCTTGCAAACAGAAGGGAGTTGCAAGTCCACAAGGATCTCCAAGATGAAGGTGCCAGTTGCACCAGCCCAACATGATGTTGATCACGAAGCTTGAGCACAATGACAAGTGAGCACTGATGTTGGAGTCGATCAACTGGTCCTTCTTGACACTGCAGCTGCACCATAGTTCGCGCCAAGGTTTGGAGGAAGGTCGCAAGCTCAAGTTGCTGCTGATTGCCCCAAGCAGCACAACTTTCATTCCAGTCCAACGAGATCCGTTCAGCTCGAAGTAGTTGTTGGACTTGGTGATGAGCATGAGCAAGCCGTAGGTGCATGACGGATTCTCTGGGTTCAAGGGCAAGAGATGGTTGTGGATAGCTGCCAGCTCCATAGAATGCCTCATATTGAACCAACAGTTCTTGGCAGTAAGCTGAGAGACAGGCTGTCACTGAAGGATGTGGTCCAACGTCCTGTGTCTTGGCATGATTCAGTCTGAGATGGCCGTAAATCCAAATGACCTGGAGCGGCGAGGCCACAAATCCGAGCAACGCCAAACAGGCTCGTGGATCATGGGCAAAAGTCACAGAGGCAGGTAGTCCAAGAAGATGAGCTACTTCATGAGGATACAGGTATCGAGGTTCCCCTGAGTGCTTTGAAATCACGTAGTACCCTCGCAACCCCCCTTTTGCCAAGGTGAGTGGGTGGAAGCCTTTCTGGCGACAACCACATGGGCATTGAGTCAAGGCATTCGCATAGCTGTGCAGGATGGTGGCAGCGATGTCCTTCAGGTCAAGACATCGTGAGTCTGTGCCATACTTTGGATCATGATACATCTGCGGCTCGTAGGGTGTCAGCTTCAAGCTGACTTCATCTTCTTCAGACCAAACCCCCCAATCCGTGAAGATGCTGCCCACATGGTCAAATGGTGAATGAAAATCCAAATGTGGCAAACCAATGGAGTCCCAATGTTTTGGCATCAAAAGTGCCCACCAGCGAGCCCGTCTGCATGGCCACACTTCAGCAAGGTCAAGTTGGGCTGTGTGAATCACCCAGCCCATCGCATCAGCAAGAGCTTGGAGATCCCGTTGGATATCCCTGTTCTCCCCTGCTGCTAGCGTGCATTCGAGGATCATGGTCTTGGTCTGACGCATGAATGCAATGTGCAAGCCATGCCAAAGGACTTGTGCTCGTGGATCCCCACTGCCTAGTTGTCGCCCTTGATAAGAGTCTGAGGACATGCCGGATCAACTGCGCAGCATCTGGTGCTGTCAATCCAAGTGGAGAACAGACCCCTGATGATTGTGGCTAAGATGCTGAACCGCTAGAAGATTCCAATCAACTGCGGTCATGGGAATTCCACCTAAATACTTTGCGCCACTTGTCATGGCACCTGTCCCAGCACACAAATCAACAAGAAAAGGTGGCAAAACGTCATCAGACACTGGAGTTTGTGTCCACCAGGATCGACTGTCAAGACAAATGATCAAAACATCCTGCACTGTCACCTTACCACCATACACACTGAAGCGCCCAGCAGTAAGTTCCGCACCAATCCAAAGAACTGGTAGCCCATTAGGAACGCGAGCCCCAGAAAACATCTCCTTGCCATTCCGGTGGGAGATCTCAAAGACGCCATCAATGCGCCCTCCCTCTGTTGGCCGGTGAGGGCCAAAAATCTCAAAGGCCATTGCAAGTGATCACTATCCCGATATTTAGTTGATTTCAGCCTAACCTCTGGAAGGGGTTCGGGCCAAAGGCTGATTTACCCAGCTATAAAACGGTGGATCTTTCCATAGTTATGCTAGTTTACCAGAGGTGGCTCATGTTTAATAATGGTGATTAATGGTGATTGATGGTTACTAATGGATGATGAATGGATAATGATGATTTATGTGGGTAAAACAATGCCAGAAAAATTACCCATGACTGGAAATGGTTTATATATATATATATATACCCTCCAGTAAATTAACATAGACCCTGCCAGATAGGGGTTGGAAGACTAGTTTCCACTGTAAATGGGTCATTTTCAGGGTATGTTTATTTACCAGAGGGTACCACGTATGGTGATTTGGGGGATTTGAGGGTATCTTCCCAATGGATTCCCTCATTGATCGGCTCACCTGCGTGGGATCTCCCAGGTGTTTGGCGCGGAGCCATAGCTCCGGGGCACCCGCCTTCCTGAAAATGGCCAGGAAGGCGCTCGATGACACCATGGTATACCATATAACATTGGAAATGCTATATAGAATTTTGATATATACATATGTATGTATATGTATGTATATATATATGTGTGTGTGTATATATATATATATGTATGTATATATATCTCTCTCTACTGAATTACATTGGACATGTTATGTGTGTACTAAATTCCAACCATGGAAATTACCATTAAAAAATGGCTATCATATCTATACTATGCTATATACCATGGAATATAGATAATGGTATATAGAATAGTATATAAATGTCATTGGTCCTGATATTAGTATAATAACCATTATTCTAGTATTATAGTATTAGAATTTAAGATAGCCATCAAATATCATCAAATAATGGTATTAGTGGCATATCATCAATAAATCATAATGACTATTGATCATAATGAATATTGAGTATCATTGGTGTATGGATTGTAATTAGTAAATGGTATTAATGGTGTTCATGGTATCAATAAATGGCCATCCCACCTTGATGATCAATAATGTAATGATTATTAATATCATTCTGATTTACTGATTATTAATGATTATTGATAGCTAATATAATGATAAGAATGGGTAATCATTATAATGATACCATTATTGATTATTAGTAATTTAGTAAGAATAGAAAACAAATGGCATTGGCAATGATATTACTCATTGTAATGATATAGATAGAAATGCAATATAGCCATCAACAAGAACACAGATATATTCAATTCTGGCTATTATTCTTATTATAATTGGTATGATTATTAATATGAATAATCAATCATCTTGGTACTGGGAGATTGTTGTGGCTGATAGTAATGGTAATGGTATTATAATTATATAGTAATCCTATATTAGCCATATCAATGGAATATAGCAATCGGCAATAGTATATAATGCACCAATATGCAAATGGAAATCATCTTATATTCTTGGTATGAATGGTATCATTAAACATATAAACGGAATGTAACTATCAAAAATAGTACTAAAAGTAGAAACATCATGGTTTTGATTGGCAAAAGTAGTAGTAGAAACATGGTTGCGTTTATTAGCAAAAATATGCATATCAACAGTTGTAATCCCATCCCCCGTATGATTATTAAAATAGTAATATAATTGGTGTTTATAGTGACAACTAGTAATTATTATAGACATATTATGATTATTGTTCTTGTTCTCATTAGTATGATTGCTAATATGAATAGTCAATCCTTTTTTTGGGGGAAGATTATATCTATTGATATTGAATCATCTTGGACATACTATCCTGATATCCTGAATATTAATACTAATCAACAGGAATCATGATTAATCATTATTGTTATTCGTAGCAATAGTAATGACAATGGCATTATTGCTAGTAATCCCTTACCCTATTCATATGAAACACCCAAAAAGAAATGACCCCAAAATGTGAATTCATCCCCCACATCCGCCATGGCCTGTGGGGGGTGTTGAATATGAACCTGGGAAGGGATTACTAATGGGGATGAAAGGTAATACTAATTACATAGTTAAGAATTATTAACAACGATATCGCAATAATGATATCAATGGTAAAAGAGTGAGCATGACATGATAGAAATAATAACATTAAGGGTAACAAGTTAATAGCATTATGATGCTCGTTATGATTGTAATGATATCAATCATAATTATTGACAAGTGATAACTTTAAAAAGAAAATCTGTCGAACAAATGAACCATCATCATAATTAGTGATAGTAATACCAGTATATAATGTGAAATATGAACCTCTACTGCCAGTGATACGTTATAATCATGATGTGATGATGGTGATGATGGTTGTAGTGATGATGAAATACATATATAATGACAATCATGATAACAATGACAGTAGTGACGATGATGCTAGTGACAATGATAGCGACACGCTTTACACTAGCCTGACATGGGCCTACAGCTCAGCCTCATCACTTGCCAGTTCCCAAATTCATCGACTTACGTAGAAGTCATGTTGGTCATGACTTAGCCCTGTGTAAACCGTTTGAAAACAACAATGGAGAATGACCAAACAGCCATGATCAATTGTGGCTATTGAAGCCGTTAAACCATGTTAAACCCCCATTCGCAATAGTTGATATAGTCAATGGTGGATGGCTCAAACGACTAACCAGCTGCATCATAGCCTATAGCAGACCCGCAGTGGATCCGCCATTGATTGAGAAACTCATATCATTCGTACCCTCTGCTCATTTAACATAGCTGACATAGCTATGGAAAACCACCAGTCTTAAAAAAATACATCATCGAACTACATATTCGACCTAATCATCGAACTACAGGAAATGAACCATTTTCATCCATTTTCCAGGGTCATGTATGGTCATGTTAAATGACCGGAGGGTAACCATCGGTTGAAAACGTTCCATCCCAGGCTCCACTTGGTCTTGGAGCTTCCCACGCTGGAACTGTCCGGTGGAAAGTCTGGGTCCGTGAAGGCCTGAAACGAGTTCTGTGAGTCATGCTGGAACTGTCATGGCTGTCATGGGAAGAAACCTTTTGTATATATATATACATACATACATGTCATATATATATATGTCATATATATATATATGTCATATATATATATATATTTATATCCAAATAGTAAATTGGGATGGGAAAACAAATATTCCATAAATATAGGCAATGGGATTTCACTTGGTTGAAGTTGAGGAATGGCTATTTCACCTGTACAAAAAATGAGGATCTCATGAAGCACAAGAACTGGTCACTGCAAAGAGGGATGCAACGTGTGACCAACAAAACTGGCCTTTTAGTCGACCTGTGTGCCTGGCTTGCTAAAACCCACCGGGAAATCACAAAGCAAGCTGGGTCTGAGAATGCCCCCCCCACATCCATGCTTGATCAAATGAAACTATCTTATGGATATTCCCCTTTGGACAAACCCCTGGATAATGTTGCTTGTGGTTGATTACATCTTCCATCAATCCCCATTGACATTTGTATTGCTCAATCCGTGCAACACATTCATATGCTGCGATCCACCATATGTTTGAGGGCAAGACCCATATCTGATATCAATATCCTCGTTTCTCTTCCCATTAACATCCCCATTTTACATATATATATATATATTCCCAACGTATCAATGTCTATTCCCATCAATATCCCCATATTTACAACCTCACATATATATATATAATATACATAAATGAACAAATCAAATATAGTAACCCCTAAAAAGATAGGGGAAAAGTAAAACCCTACTTGAGTAGTGATTTGTTTATTACGTTCCTATTTTCTTCATTTTTTGGGGGGGGGTTACCATGGCTATCCCCCCGCTAGCACCTTGGGATCCTCCTCCATCTGTTGGAAGACACCGCGACAGGTCCATCCTCGCGACAATTTTCACTGGGGAAAGTGGGGTTCTTCATGGGGATATGAATGCAATTTGATCATGGGGAAATGTCATGGGAATATCATGGAAATACCAGTAGTACCGCACAAGGCGGTGGCAGAAGTTTCAAAAATAGGAAACCTATAGGAGAGATTGGTTGTTGTGAATCAGGGATGGCAGAATGAATCATTTTGCTTGGGGTCTCCTCTCTTTCTCTCTTTTTCTCTCTGTTTCTCTCTCTCTCTCTGATTATCTACCTACCTACCTACTGATCTATCTGTCTACCTATCTATCTGTCTGTCTATCTATCTATCTACCTATCTATCTATCTATCTATCTCTATCTATCTCCCTATCTATCTATCTATCTATCTAGCTATCTTGCTATCTAGCTATCTAGCTATCTAGCTATCTAGCTATCTAGCTATCTAGCTATCCAGCTATCTAACTATCTAGCTATCTAGCTATCTAGCTATCCAGCTATCTAGCTATCTAACTATCTAGCTATCTAGCTATCCAGCTATCTAGCTATCTAGCTATCTAGCTATCTAGCTATCTAGCTATCTAGCTATCTAGCTATCTATCTATCTATCTGTCTATCTATCTATCTATCTATTTATCTATCTATCTGCCTATCTATCTGTCTATCTATCTATCTATCAATCTAATCAATCTATCAATCTATCTATCTATCTATCTATCTATCTATCTTTTTATTTAGCTGTCTCTCCATCTATTTGTCTATCTGTCTATCTATCTATCTATTTATCTATCTATTTATCTATCTATCTAGCTATCTAGCTATCTAGCTATCTAGCTATCTAGCTATCTATCTATCTATCTGTCTATCTATCTATCTATTTATCTATCTATCTGCCTATCTATCTGTCTATCTATCTACCTATCAATCAATCTATCAATCTATCAATCTACCAATCTATCTGTCTTTCTATCTATCTATCTATTTGTCTATCTATCTATCTATCTAGCTATCTATCTATCTATCTATCTGTCTATCTACCTAATCTATCTAATCTATCTAATCTATCTATCTAATCTATCTTATCTATCTATCTAATCTATCTAATCTATCTATCTAATCTATCTAATCTATCTAATCTATCTAATCTATCTAATCTATCTAATCTATCTAATCTATCTAATCTATCTAATCTATCTAATCTATCTAATCTATCAAATCTATCTATCTATCTATCTATCTAATCTATCTAATCTATCTAATCTATCTAATCTATCTAATCTATCTAATCTATCTAATCTATCTATCTATCTATATATCTATCTATCTATCTATCTATCTATCTATCTATCTATCTATCTATCTAATCTATCTATCTATCTAATCTAATCTAATCTCATCTCATCTCATTTCATCTAATCTAATCTAATCTAATCTATCTATCTTTCTATCTAATCTATCTATATGTTTGTCTATCTGTCTATCTATGTATCTATCTATCCATCTATCTCTCTCTCTCTCTCAATCTATCTCGCTCTCTATCTCTCTATCTCTCTATCTCTCTATCTCTATATCTCTCTATCTCTCTATCTCTCTATCTCTCTATCTCTCTATCTATCTATCTATCTATCTTTCTATCTATCTATCTATCTATCTATCTATCTCATCTGCCTATCTTTCTATCTCATCTGCCTATCTAACTATGTATCTATCTATCTACCTATCTACCTGATCTATCAATCAATCAACCACCAGACCAGCTTGCGGACCGCGGCTGGCAGCTCTTTGGTCAGGGCCAACCTTTGTTCCACTTCCAAGCCTGCGGCGCCGGCGGCCGTCGCTTGCTGTGCGGCCTTCTCCTCAAAGGCCTGCAGCTCGGAGAGCGGCCAGACACTGCACAATTCCTTGGTCTTGTCGACGGTTTTCGCCGGCGACTGCTGGCTGCTGGCCGACTCGGACTCGGCGGGCGCCGCTTTCTTGACCTTCTTGTCCTTGGAGCCCGTGGCGCCTGCGCTCGGCTTGCGCTTCTTGGACACGACCTCGCTCGCCTGGGAGCTCGCTGCTGCTGCGGACGCCTCCGAGGACGAGTCCGCCTTGCGGTGCTTGCTCGCCTTCGCCTTCTTCTGGGCCTTGGTCTTCTTGCTCTTCTTGCTTTTGCCGCTCTTCTTCTTGCTTGTGCGAGGCCTGGAGGACGAAGCGCTGTCTTCCTGGCTGCTGCGCAACGCCGGGGAGGACGAGGAATCGTCCGCTGGCCCTTCGAAGTCGCCGAAGCGCCGGGCTCGGGTCTCGTTCTTGTTGTCCTCCTTGATGTTCTTCGCCACGGCCGCAAAGAACTTGGCCTCATCTTCGGGGTCCTGGAGCCAGGCCGAGTGTTTCGTCTGTTTCTTGCGCTCTGGTACGCTTTTGGCCCATGCCCGCAGGTCCTGGGCAACGGCGGCCACCTCCAGGATGCTTGTACTCACTGTGTAGAAAGAACGCCATGCCAACAAACTTCAGTTCACGAAGCCAACCAAAAATGGTTCAGACACTATAATCGAAGGGTTGTGAAGATTAGGAAGTGCCAGCAAGAAGCGGAAGCGACTGTAGTCATGAAAGCAAAGCAAAACGGACGGCCCCACGGTGTCAAAGCAAATGGCTACGGTAAGGACAACTGAGGCCACGACGGTTCAAATGCTGTGAAGCAAACGGCTGCAGACAGCGCAATCAAACACTTGGAGAGAAGCCAATTCAATCTAACTGAAGCGACCCAGCAGCGTGGCCGAATTGAGGCAAACGTGCTGCAGTCAGTAAAGCTTTTCGCCTTTTTTTCGGTCTGTCCGTTGCACCTCGCTGGCAAAGCGGTCTGTGCAAATACTGCGCGTGCTTTTTCAGTCTTTCCGTTGCACCTAGCTGGCACGGCGGTCTGTGCAAGTACCGCCCGCGTAGCAAAGCCCTGAGCACGCTCCAGTACTGCAGCAAAAGTAGAACAACAGGAGAATACAATAGATATCTTTTGACCATCCTTTTTTTGCGATTCCAAATTTGTACAAAGCTATAACATATACATGTATTTGTATTTATGTCTGTATTGGAAGAAAAATATTGACCACGTGCCTTTCGTCGGCAGGTCCTGGAAACATCGTTCCGGCTGCCTCTGTGCTTTTTAAGCTGCCCGGTTTTCGAGCGATATGCTTCCGCTCATTCAATCGATGTCGGTTGCTTCATCGGATGCCGAAGACATGCTCGACTCTGGATCAGAGTCACGGGCAAAGGTCCACCGCAGGTACACCTCGAAGCCCTTGGTGGTGCAGTAAAGAGTGCGTGCTTCGATGCGCAGAGGTAGCCACCTTGGTCGTTGACATTGGTTTCAACGTGCCGAAGAAGTCGGAAGTTCGCACCGTGAACGGCCAGTTGCTCCACGGCACGTTGAAAGCAGTTGTCGGGAAAGATCCCTTGCAAGTTTTCTCTTTGCACGCGCCTGCCGTTTGCCGTTTCCCATTGGCAGCGAGGAGGGTGTTGACGTTTGTGGCGTATGGCCACGCGGCATTCCACCGCCGGGGTGACGGGGCCGTGCCACCAAATGTTCCGCAGAGCCTTGTTGTCGTAGCGCAACAGCGGCGATAGCAGAAGGACGTAGAGCACATGCATCAAAGTCCCGATGCTTAGCGGTGTGGTCGGCTGGAGCACCAGGCCGCACTCTGCAAGCTGTGTGACGAGGAGGCTGCGGGCATGGTGCCCAAGCGCTTGTCGCAGGGCTCGGTTGCCCTGGGAGACATTTAACACGGGGGAGCCATCCGATCATGCTCACCAACTGGATGACGTTGATGCCGTCAGCAAGGGTGGTCATCACGTCGCACAGTTCCTAAAAGCCACCCCCTTCTACAGTGAAAAAAAGGCGGGGGCAGCGCATGCTTTATGTCAGTGCAAGAACAGTGTACAGCACAGTGCCTGCACACCAGTAGCGGCCTGCACCTGGGCATGCGGGCGGCTGGCACGTAAGGTGAATCTTAGCGTACGTGGGCAAATTCGTTTTTGTCTTGTTTGGTTTAACGGTGCGAAACGACCTCGGATAGAAAACCTGGAAAATCAAGATCTGAGCTTCGGACGTCGAAATGAACTACCTTGCACAGTCGAACTTGACATCAACTCCGGCGATTGGCCAACCAAAAATAGTTCAGACACTATAATCGAAGGGTTGTGAAGATTAGGCAGCGCCAGCAAGAAGTGGAAGCGACTGTAGTCGTGACAGCAAAGTGCACCCCGCCTTCCGCCTCTTGCCGTCCTGGTGCCGGCTGTATGTTGTACATGACGGCAGACACCATGTATAAGAAGGATGTCTACACCTTTCATGCAAAGCAACGAACGAACTCAGCTTCATATTCTGCCTTTTCCCTTTTTGGCGCCGTTCAGGGCTGCAGTGTTTGAACCCGGTTGAAAGCGGCTGCGGCAGAAGAAGACAAAAAGATTGGAGTCTCATCTGCCAGCTATCTTCTAAGCATGGTCTTCTGAGGCGTTCTTCTGAACGGCAAGGGTTTTTTCGACCTCTGCGCTGTTTCTCGTTTTGGGCACGCAAGAGGAAGCACATCTTCGCACGCGTCATTTTTTCTCGCGGCCGGCTGTCTCTCAGCATGGGGCAGCTCTGCGCGTGCGCGGCTGCCTCCTGCCCGACTGGTTTTAAAACGGTCGGAAGCAAGGCCTCCTGTGCCTTGAGGCCCTGCTTGGGAAAAAGAAGCCCTTTGGTGGTTTCTATGCCCCTCAGCATGGCTCCGACCGCGGCACCTTCCAATTTCGCGGCCATGCCCCGCGCAAGTGGGCGCGCATGGCGCGCAAATGCTGCCACGACGCGCCGCCGAAGAACGTCAGCAGCAGATGAAGTGCCATGTAGTCGACCAACCAGGGCGCGGCGACCCGGCGCCGAAGGTCGGCCATCCAACAAACCGCCAGATGCCAATCCAGGACCCGGGAAAGGCGCCGGCTGACTGGCGCATAGACGCGCTGCGCCATGCGCCAGCCTCACCTGCCACGACGCCCCATTCTCGA